ACGTTTTTGACCGCCGAGGGGTTCAAGAACGCAGTGACGCCTGAGGGAATCTCCAGAATGATGCTGTTGTGGGCGCGATCGTCGGTCAGAGACTCGGGGTCAATGTCGTCGAGACCGAATTCGGAAAAGCCAAACGCGGACGCTTCTTCATCTTCTTCAATGCTTTGCATAACAGCCTCTGATGTATCAGGGCGAACACTCTCGAGTGGGAACGGCGGAGTATAGAATTGGCTCGAGAAGGCCACTGACGAGTGGTGGCTTACATCTCTGTAGTCTCCAATGGCGCTGTAGAATGCCGAGTGTCGACCGGTCGACGTAGAAACGTCTCGCTGGTGCTGCCCATCCCGTTTCGCTTCAGGGCCAGTCGGGTGCAACATGTCTGATTGCCTGGACTTTGCCCGTGACCTCACGGAGCTTCTCGGCCTCACTACACTGCTAGTGCTGGAGGTGGTGGACGTGGACAGAAATGAGCTCTTGTGGCGGAGGGGACGAGATCGACTAAAGGCTGAGCGGCTGTCAAAAGATCTCTGGTCTCCCTCGACGCCGTCTAGGACTGTCGGGTGCGGAACCGGAGGGAACCCCTGGGCCGGGGGATCGAGCTGGTCGGGTAGCGTTTCCTCCAAGATCCCCGGCAGAAGCAGAAATTCAGTTCGCCCAGCCCGTTGATCCTCGCGACGGATGAGCTCCTGCTGCAGCTTGCGCTCTTCGGAGAAATGGAACTTTCTTCCAATGATGGCCACGCGGATACTGGCTTGGAAGAATGCGTCCGTTTCGACGCCATGCTGAGACTTCCACTTGTGTCTCATGGCCGATTCGGAATTCACACACGAAACCTGCAGATCTGGGAGTCGGATGTCGGCTCGCCTAGAATAGTGCGTACGGGCCCAGTCGTTGAACTTGATATCGAGGGTGCCGGTCGAGAACAAGAACGCCGCTTCGTCAACATGGCACCAGACACGGACGGCCTCGACAGCCACCCTCAAGAAGGTGACGTCGTACACAATGACGGAAGAGAGCGGTATCAAAGCATTCTCGTCGTCGTCAAATTCGAATGCGAATCCTTTACCCACACCCATGAGTGCCGTCAAGAAGTCGGCAGAGCATTCTCCCGATACGGTGCCAACAGAAATGTCCCAATTACACATGTAGGTCGGCTCGCTGGGAGGAAGTCCGAACAGACGGTGTCCATATATGGTGAGGCCGTCAATGAACAGCTGGGTACTGGACACTGCGCTGATGGGTGTTTCCGAACCCGACTCTGCGTTTCCGAGAGACAGGTTCAGGGGGTTGAGATTGACCTGCAAGTCCATGTAGTAGTTTGTGAATCGGAGATCCAAGGAGAGACCAGCGGTTTCAACCTGAACATTGCGCTGACTGGAGTACAGGTTGGCAGGCAAGATAAGGCGCAGGTCGTCAATCTTTACGCTCAGAATCACGTCCAAGTCGTTGGACTTTTTCGGAGGTGGGCGATTTGCCAGCTCCGCATCTGGGTTGCTTTCCTTGAGCCCCAAGAGGTCTTGGTACTCTTCGAGCGTCTTGAAGTGGATGTAGTCGCCGAGGTAGTTGTCCTTGAGGACCATGACATATCGTATGATGAACCCGTAGATTGTTGCCGTGGGCGACTGGAGACTAAGGTTGATTTCCAGTGTATCAATGTTGGCCGGAGATGTCGTAGCGTTGTAGTGGTATTTCCCGTCAACTTCAAAGTTCTCGCCGTGGCCGATTTCTTTTGATGTAAGAAAGGTGCCCTGCGTGTTCCAAGGCGGCACATGTAGCCACAGCGAGAAGGTCTCGGCGCCCAGAACGAAGGGTACGGTGTTCATGCTAGGCCGGAACTTGTCGATCGGGATACACGAGTTTACAATAAGGGAGGGGCTCTTGGCTACGATGTAGGCGTTGTCCTCGAGATCGGTGGGGTTGTTGATTATGTTGCCATCATTGGCATTGAGGTAAAGCGCCGCGTCGCGGAGCTCGAGATTGAGGTAGTATCTGAAGGGTGTGAAGACAAGATACTCGGCCGGTGGCCCTGATGCCCAGTCATCGACCAGATCAATGATGAGGAAGACGTGGTCCCTCAGTATAAAGAGTTCCATTTGTTCTGTAATGATGTTGAAGTACCACGTCCTGAGTGTGTTCCATTTAAGAGGAGTGGACAGATCGCAGGATATGCGCTGGGGGCCTGAACGCCAGAGAAGCTCGTGGTTCACGCTGGTCGCGAGCTCGGTACTGGGAAGGTCGACATCGAGCTTCATCTGGTACCCCGTCTGGCTGGCAAGCATGTCCATGGTAAAGGAGATTGTGGAGTTACCAGGCACGATGAAGTCGAGCCAGCCTCCCGGACGGGTGGGTGCCGCGTCTGTCTTGATGTTCTTCTTGGCACGGTTTCTCTGCTTCCGCTTCATCGGCTGTGGCGGAGCCTTCATGGGCGGCTCTTTGCCCTTCCACTTCCAATTCTTCGAGTCTTCTCGTATAGGGATATGCAGCGTCACTTCATCGTTCAACTCGACGAACAACTTGAACTGGGTGGGAACGCGGTAGGCGCCCTCCTCCAAAGGTGTCGCAGGAACGGCGTCTTTGGACAAACTGGGAACAAAGACGCGCTGAAGATCGGCTCGGTGTCGATCTGCCCAAGGCCCGTAGTTGACCACGCCGCCGTTGATGGCAAGGCTCATGCCCCATGCAGGAGCCTCGTCGCCGTTGATGTACGTTGCCGCGTTCTCCTTTGAACGTCTGCTCGCGGCCTCGGCTGTCACCTTGCCGACAACATCCCAGTAGATGGTCAGCGTCGCCTCGGGGCTGTCTACCACTGTGGACTCGGCAGCGTACTCGACGCCTGCCCAGCGCAACCTGGAATCCTGCTCGTCTTCGTCCAAGTAGCGGGCTAGACCTTGCCATTGGTTGGATCCGGGTATTTGAGACACCGCCGTGGTGAGTGGGCTGCGCGAGCCCAGAGAGAAGGATTCGACGGACTTCCGCCAGTACGGCACGAGGTTTCTTAATGTTCCGAGCGTGCGGCGTCTCTGCCGCCGGAAGAAAGAAGTCTTGTACGTGGGACTAGGTTCCTGGGCAGCCTGTTTTTCGCGGTTGGCCCTCGTCGCCTGGTCTTCCTTGAAGTCGTCATTTTCTCGCATCTCTACGATTGGGTGCTGGAACTTGATCTTGAAGATCTGCTTGTACGGGTCCGGGGTGGACGTCTTTGAGGCGTCAATTTCACCCGAAAGCCCATCAGCCTTGACAATCAAGATGGCCTTGGTGTTGTCGTTGCCCATGACTACAGCTGCCTTTTGGCATGTCACAAAGATTGGGAAGAGCTGCAGAAGGAATGGCAAATCGGAGTCTGCCTGAACATCATCGCTGCTGCCGGCCGGGCCATCGGAAGGAGTACTAGTCTGACTGGCCGAAGATCCACGACGTCCAAAGGTGTTGCCAATCCTCGAGAGTAGAGCCGCGCCAGCTGTCTCCTTTTCGTGTTCTGCTGAATCTGGTGATGGCTCCGGCTTTTCAGTCGTCCTCTGTCCTCGATTTCTCAGCGAAGCGTTTTCGTCTTTGGGCTCGAATGCTGTGGACACGTTCTCAGCAGTTGCCGTGGGCTCCTTGAGACCTGCCAAAACGCTGTCATAGGCGGGACTTCGATTGTATATGAACCATTCGAGACCAACCAGGGACATTGTGACTCGGCAGGGCAGATTCGAGTGTCGTCCGTTTGCCGCGGCAGAAGCCTGCTCAGCTTGCTGCTGTGCCGACGCTTTAATATCCACCTCCCGCACTCGACGTAGCCAGTATCGCCATGTAACGTAGCCATGCTGAATTAGGAACGTCTCGTTATTGCCGTGATATCGTAGACCGGTAAAGAAAATGCGTCCACCAAGAAGTGAGACCTGGAGTGCCTGGATGTCAATGTAGAGTCGGTAGCGATGCCATGTGTAGGTTCGTATGCCCCACGAGAGAAGCGATCCAAAGGCCCGGTTGAAGTAGAGGAGGAAGAAGACAGCGAGGGCACCGCATATGATCAAGTATACGAGAAACTCCCATCTAAAGGCCGGGGTCTCGGTCGGCGTGGGATTCGGCTCCCCTTCTTGCGGCATCTTGACGGCGGTGAGTCGACGATCAATGCCCAATGCCTCGTGTTTGGCGAGCCAAAGCTAGCATCAACGTCGGAGCTGCCCTTGTCCACCCACTGCCATGTCGCGGTTTCGCAGTCGTTGCTCGCCTGGTGTTGTGGAGGTAGGTTCGTAGGTTGTCGGTTGTCGGTGGTTACGCGGTATGCTCGTAGGACACGGTTGAGATTATATGAGCTATCTGATCTGGGGTGTCGAGTGCACAGGGTAGAATCGGATAGTCGGATGGGTGAGGAGTCGGTGAGACAGCGCAACGTGAAGCATGCGCAATGTGCAATGCGGTTGAGGTTGGATTGGTGTGGGATCACAGGCCAGCAACTTTCAGCGGTCGCATTTCACAATCAAAGTCGCGCCGAGCGTTCCCAACGACGGGGCCCGGGTGTCTCGCGCTAATGACAACCCGCGCCCCATGGCCCATCGGCGGAGCTGTGGTCGTAGCTTCCGGGGCGCACCCCCCAGCAGCCCAGCAGCCCAGCAGCCCAGCAGCGGACGTCAATCCCGGCGGGCGGTGGGCGGTGGGCGGTAGGCGGTGGGCACGGGTGGGTCAGTGGATGAAAAGGTCACTGTGGTGCTACCCCACACGCTCAAGCACGCTGTGAAACCAAAGCTTCAGGGGAGCTGCCGGGACGCAGTATGGGACCTCCCTAACAATTAATGCACGGTCATTGGCCGTACGCGGATGATGCGCAGCTGTCACCCTCCCCGTCCACCACCTAGGTACCTATCAGGCAGTACGTACCGGGCTTAAGTACGGCGTCTGCAGCTTGAGCCGCGCATACGTACCGAATTACGCACCTGTCACGAGCAGCTCATGACAACCTAAACCTCGCAGCACGGCCATCGTCATCTTCTTTTGTTGCCTCTCTCTCTTTCTCTCTCTCACACACACACACATACACATCTAGTCGCCTCCCCGCCCCTGCGACGTCGATTCCTGAGCCTGAAGCTTGCTGTTCCGCCCCTCTGTCTCTCTTGACCTCCGTCCTTTGACAGCCATGAGGTAGACGACATTCCTCACACACAACACAACACCCTACGCCATGTCCCGCCTCGAAGTCAATATGGCGGGCGGCACAGGCGAGAAGCTGACCACGGCGACCATCATTGTCGCAGGCGTCGCCGCGCTGATAGCCACTTTCCTATCAGCCATGTAAGTACTCGTCGTGCTACCCTGACTGGCGCAAACTGAGGCTAACGAGCAACTCGCAGATCCATCTTTCTCCAGTCGTACGCTACCTATCCCGCCCGCGCTCCCCTTCCAACCGGCCACTGACACACACCCCAGGAAAAACTACCGAAAACCACTCCTTCAGCGATATGTCGTTCGAATCTTGCTCATGTATTTTGGCCGTTCCTCGCGCGATAAGCACCAGTCTAACCAACCAAGGGTCCCCATATACTCGATATCGTCTTGGACAAGCATGGTCTCTATCAAAGCTTCGTCTTTCCTTGACCCTGTCAGAGACATTTACGAGGTGAATACAGCTTAGCGGCACTTTCTCTTATCTACAAGTGCTAACAAAGCCAGGCTTTCACCATCTACACCTTCTTCCAGCTCCTTATCAACTATCTCAGCGGAGAACGCGCTCTGATCATCATGACCCACGGCCGCGAGCCAGTCTCCCACCTGTGGCCTATGCATCATGTGCTGCCCCGCGTCGACATCTCCGATCCTCACACGTTTCTCGCGATCAAGCGCGGCATTCTGCAGTACGCGTGGTTGAAGCCCATCCTGGCGTTGGCCACCGTCATCATGAAGGCTACAGACACCTACCAGGAGGGCTACATTGGCGTGGAGTCGGGCTATCTATGGAGCGGCATCATCTACAACCTGAGTGTGACGGTGAGCTTGTACTCACTCGGCTTGTTTTGGGTCTGCATGCATGACGATCTGCTACCCTTCCGTCCCGTGCCCAAGTTCTTGTGCGTCAAGCTCATCATCTTTGCCTCGTATTGGCAAGGTTTCTTCCTGTCTATCCTCGTCTGGCTCGGAGCCATCCCGGACAACGTCGAGGGGTACAGTCCCGACAACTTGGCCGCCGCCATCCAGGATGCGCTGATTTGTATCGAGATGCCGGCGTTCGCCATCGCCCACTGGTATGCCTTTTCGTGGCACGATTTCGCGGATAACAGAATTTCGTCGGCGCGGATGCCCGTCAAGTTTGCGTTCCGCGATGCGTTTGGTGTCAAGGATCTCATTGAAGACTCAAAAGAGACATTCACAGGCGACAAATATGGCTACCGGTTTTTCGACTCGGGCGACAAGATCATGGCGCACGAAGAGTCCCGAGCCAGGTTAGGCAGACTCGATGAGGGCATGCGATACACAAGAGGCGGCAAGGCAAAGTACTGGATCCCGACACCCGGCCAGGTCGATCGTCAGACAAACCGCAATCTGAATGAGCGAGACCCCTTGCTTCAAGGAACCGCGGGCGGCCCGAGCGAAGAGTACAACTCCGCCAACGGCACCTTCAATGAAGGTCTCGGTGGTGAGCCCGAGATAGATAACGACGACGAGCGTCTCTACGGCAAGGCGCGCGAATTGGAGTTTGGCGATTGGAATGTGAGTGCTGCAAGAATGTGATGGTGACGATCAAAGTGGCTAACGAAGTGTAGTACCCCGTCATCACTGCAAATGTGCCCCTGAGCCAACGGTACATGTCCTCTCAGGGAAGCCTAGGGTTCGCGTCTGAACCACGATCGACAGTCGAGCGTCTGCGTGTGTCTCCTCGGCCTAGCGAGCCAGCCGTCGTCACGGTCAAAAAGAAGAAGAAGCAAAAGCAGAAGCAAGTCGCTGCGGCAGAGACGGCAGGCTCGGGATCGTCCCCCGACCGTACCGGTTCTGGACCGTCATCCAAGCCCCAAAGCCCATCACCTCAGCCGACTGCAGCCGAGGGACAGTCTGAACCCGAAGCGAGTGTTTCCAAAACGTATAGCGAGCCTGAGGCATCTCCCCTTCTACAAGAAGCAACAGCATCGCCGTGGGCAGAGAGCGAGCAAGAAGACGATTTCAATAAAAACTTTGGCGTTGGGGACGACGACGAGATCAACAAGAATGTTTGGGGCGGTAGCGAGTCCCGTTGAAAGAGTGTGCCGTAGCTTTGCATTTACAAGTTCGATACCCTTACTCTCGTGTTCTATGTTTCAGCAATATTGGCATAGCGAGGAGTTTGCGAGGAATACATGACAAGAGGCTGACTGAGTTGGGGGGTTCTTCGTGTATCAATACATCTGGGTACAGTGTTGTGTAGTGTTTTCATTCCTTGAATATACATTAGATCATGTCTGTCTCTGATTTATTCCATCTGCACTACCTCTAGGAAATAAACTTGCTTGATGCTGCCACCAAGGCCCATGACGTCTCTTTTGACATGCACCGCTCCCATGGGTTCGAGTCTCGTGGAAAATCACCAGCATTGACACCTGAGGAATAGTCTCTTGGTGATTTTGGTAGAGCTTTTGCTTTTTGCTCCAGATGATTGATTGTCGTTATGCAGACAGATACATCTCACAACACCACTAGAGGACCTGTTGTTCATCCGACTCCTCCTGGCGCCACCTACGCTGCGGCTGCTGCCTCAGCGCCGCGACCTCTCCCCCCTTCTGACCACCTTCGTCACCGCTCGCAGGGCTCGGCGGCAGCTCTCCCGTAGCCCACTCCACTGGCTCCGGCCCCAGCTCGAACTCCAGCGTTCCGCCCCCGGTAAATACATCATCCCACGTCACCCATGTCTTATCCCACTCTGCGCCGTTCACCCTCAGCCTCTGGACGTAGTACACATCCTCCGACCCGCCCGTCGTTGTAATCTTCAACTCACGCCCGCCACCGAGCGCAATAGTCAGGTCAGAAAACCACGGCGATCCGATGAGGAACGTCGTCTGCCCCGTCAACGGGTATAGCCCAATCATGTTCCACAGCAGCCAGGACTCCATTGCGCCCGCGTCCGAGTTCCCGGGTAACCCGTCCGGCGCGGGCTTGTAATACGCCTTTGCGACGAAGCGGGCGTGGCGCACGGAGAGGTGCTGCTTGTTGACAAAGTTGAAGAGGTACGGCGTGCCGAAGGAGGGCTCGTTGCCCGGGTTGAAGATTGTGTTGCCAAAGGCGGCGTTGCCCGCGTAGCTCCCCGGTTCAATCGTCTTTTCTAGGCGCGCGGCGTAGAGTTCGGGGCCGCCGGCGAGGGCGACGAGGTGGGATGCGTCGTGGTGCGCGTTGAAGGTGTATTCCCACGGCGTGGCTTGGTAGTATGCTTCCGCCCAGTAGCAGCCGCCGCAGTCGAGGGGGTCTTGGGTGGGCGTTGGGAAGCTCCCGTTGGCGTTTCGGGGCCCGAGAAAGCCTGTGAAGTTGTGGGCCGTCATGTTTACGTTCCAGTGGTTGCGCCAGTTGCGGGAGCGGGCGAGATATGTGTTTGCCGTGTCGTCTTGGCCTAGGCCCCTCGCGACTTGGGATATGGCAAAGTCGTTGACGGCGTATTCTACCGCTCTCGTGACGGCTCGGGCGTATGTAGGGGAGATGAAGCCGAGATCAAGCCAGTCTGGCAAAGCGCCGCGGCCTTCCTTGGTGGAGGAGGAAGGGTCGCGCGGGTCGTTGTTGGGAGGCGGGGTGGTCTCGCCGTTTGTGAGCATGGCGGCGAGGCCGGCTGTCCAGTCGACGGCGCCGCGGACTCCCTTTACGTAGGCGTCTGCGAGGACGTTGTCTGCGTTGGAGCCGCCTTGGACGGCGCCGTTGAAGAAGGAGGAGCGGGCGTCGGAGGCGAAGCCTGTGTTGCGCCAGATGTCGATTGTGGAGCGGATGAATTCTTCGTGGGCTTGGGGTTGGAGGATTTGGAGGAGGGATGTGGTGCAGCGGAACTTGGTGTGTTAATGCTTGGGAGAGAGAGAGGGGGTAAGAGTCTTGAGAAAGAGAGAGAGAACGTACTGTATCCCAAAAGGTAAAGATGTCGTCGTAGTATGGCTCGGAGGATTCCCAGAGCGGGTTCTCGCCCGTCTTGTTGGTGGGAAGGAGGTTCATAAAGTAGAGGGCCGTGTACAGCTGGTCCAGCTTTGTCGTGTTGGTCTCTGTTGTGGTCACCTTGGAGAGGACTTGGGTAGTCCACGCCTCGCGGGTTGCTGTCCTGACGGTCGAGAGACTGGTTCCGGCAGGGATCTCGGCGTCGACATTGCGGCATGCTTGGGCGGTTGATATGAAGGAGACGCCGACGCGGGACGTGATGACAGAGTCGGCAAAGGTGAAGACGGCGCCTAGGCGCTGCGTTCGAGACTCGTAGGAGGTTGTCTCGTTGCCGTACTCGGCGAGGACGTTTGATGTGAGGTCGGTGCCGAGGAAGGTTTTGAAGGATGAGGGATGCTGGTCAAAGTAGCCGCAGAAGAAGACTCTCCACTCGGCGGCGCGGTTCCAGCCCTGAAGTACTCAGTCATAGCTCGACGGCATGGGAGAGATGGACTTACGTTATCGTAGTACCCGTATCCTTCGTAACGAAACCCATCACTGCTATCAAAAACCTCAATCCCTCCGCCGAGGTAGTTCTGCCCGAGACCTTGTCCTCTATACGACGGCAGAACATGCGAGACGTCCACGATGATGTTGTTGCTGCTACCATTGTTCCCAGGAAAAGTGTATCCATACATCCCAGCCCTGTCCGAAGCCCCCAACTCCACCACGACCCCGGACCCAAGAAACGCCCTGTAATACCCGAGCTCCGTCTCATCCGGCGCGGCCCGGGTATCCGTGCTCTGGTCCACCCTCAAAGGGTTGTCCAGGACACCGATGACGGGCATCTGATTGACGACGCCGTACTTGGGCGCCCCGCCGGTGCCGGACTCGTGGAGCATGGAGAAGCCGGTGAAGTTGCCGGCGGGGAGGTAGCCCGAGTAGGCGTCGACGCCGTTTTCGAGGTCCGGGCCGAGTTTCACCATGCCCAGGGGGCGGGAGACGCCCGGGAAGGTGTTGCCGCCTCCCACGGAGCCGGTCTGGGGGTGTTAGTCCTCATGGTTCTAGGGAGGCATTTTACTAGAGTCTGGTGGACTCACGTCTGTTAGGACATGGCTGGCGAGATCGGCAGACTGCGCTGCTACCACGGTGGATGTGATGTGAAACAGAGTGGTTCGGCGCATGTTGATTATAGTCTCTTATGAAGGTGAGTTACCCGATTCATACAAAACTCACACAAGATACAGGATGAAGCACTGTCTTTATACTCTTGAAATCAACTCAACGAGCAAAGTTGAACCCCTGGACCTACTTCTCCAATGACCTCTCAATCCTGATGGCCCAAGATGAACAGGAAAAGGAACGGTAGTGAGGGGAATATCTCATCCAAACGAAGGGTATTCGACTCTCATGAAGAGGGCACGAAACGGCGTTGCAGGAGCGTCCACGGGGTTGGGATCCCTTTGCTGGAAGGATCGTGAGAGAGAATGGGGGGTAACGAGGGACATGCAACGTGCCAAAATGAGAGACTATGACTGGACGAGGGTCAAATATGTGACGGTAGATGGAGGGTGACGTCTCCGTGAACATGTGAGGTGTGAGGTCAAAGAGAGTATGTGAGAGGAAACAAATGAGAGCATGGACGTCACTGTTTAAGATACGACTGATAAAAGAGATGGACTGCGGCTGATAGCTATGCGGTTCGGCACGGAAATGCCATGGTAGCAGCGCAAAGGTCTTGGTGTTTTGACTGGTTCGTCACGAGGGGGGGAGCGTGGCATCGTAGCCCACATCACGCTCGGCCGTCGCGTAGCTCACTCCCTGGTCTAGGACTGTAGGCGCCCGGCCGAGGGGGGGCGGAAAAGACGGATGCGACCCCCGACATGTGGTAAAGTGGTTCTAGACTCTTGGTACCTCTTTGTCCGGGGTATCGTGCATGGAAATTTGAACCGCCGCGCTTGTTGGAGACGGTAGAGTTGCGGAAAGTAGACTTTCTGTCCCCCAGAGTCTAAGAATAAGGTATCCAGGAAAGTGATGTGCGTCGTGAACCAACAGATTCACAGGCACAGGCTACTACCTTGCCTTGTGGAATTGAGTTTGGCTGCGAAAATCAGGGGCCCCCAAAATGCCGAGCCCCAACTTCATTGGAGAGAAGAAGAACAGATCCAACGCCGTTACCTGATAAGAAGGTAAGGCAATGTAAGCAAACCCAGGCGCTAGCGTATGCGGCGCGTTCTTGTTTTCTGTGACGGTCGGCCGAGGTCACCCGTGTCGTTTGATTCGGCCCCGTGCCCCGGGCGACCCACTTATTCGCGGCCCCCCGAGACATCCCCCCCGCCCTTTTCAGGAACAACTGAACACGAGCCAGTGCCTCTTGACCACGGATTGAATGTGCGCATAGGATCTGGTGCCGAGTCTCTGGAGAATATTAGCATTCTTTGCCAGGTCTCCTTACGCGTCTTTTTAACGACTTGCGTTGGTCAGGAAGGCTGGCTGCTGCTGTACGATGCAGAAGGTGATTTGACGATAATTGAGGGCTATGAGAAGACTCCGCCAATGTACGTACACCTGCTATATCTGTATAGTATACGGAATCTCCTTTGAATCCGAACTTGAAGTCGAAACTGTGCGTCATTCTGATTTGCTCTTGTTCCAACGTACCTAATTGCTGCAAAGTGTACCTTGACACGCAAGGTACTTCAAAGCCTTGGCTGGATCATGGTCTATCAGTCGGGATAGCTATAACATGCACAAGAGGATGAAATCGCAATTCCGATCTGGCAAGCCCGCAGATGAGCCTATAACAGAACATGTCTAAGTATCGTACTATTGGATTCGACACTAAATGAGGAAAATGCATCATGTTTTCCCATCGCGATCGGGGTTCCTAGACTAGAGATTCGCCTGTCTGTCCTGGGTACCTGTACCTGCCCTGTACCCAAGTACCTTAGGTACCTATTGACCTGTACCCTTGGGACCTCAGGCTGTAAGTGCAGGAACGTCCAGCGCTCAATGGTCCGACTGCGCCCTGAGGTACCTGCCTGAGGCGGTCCGGCAAGGTGCCTGACGCCGCTGTGGGTCCCCCACCGGCCCGGCACATCCCACCCGCAAACCACTTTCGGCTTACCACAGACGCCAACGCAGGAACGCCGTGGCCCAAAAACCACCGTTGCCTCAACCTCCCGACGTCTCCCGCACCGCACCGCACCGTACCGCACCACATCCGTCCGAGGTTACACCCCGATAGACCCACGGGGACGACTTTCCGGAGCGGCCATTCTTTACCTCAACGCATTCAATCACCGGATGACAGAACAATGGCATCTCCCAAAGAACCTGTGTCAGTGTCTGCGGTAAATACCAAAACGGATGCCAGCAAAACCGTTGTCCGCGGCGCCTCCCTCCTCATCATCCTCCAAATCGGCTCCCGCGCAGTCACCTTCATCGCAAACCAGCTTCTCCTCCGCTTCCTGACTGCCCGCCTTCTCGGCGTCTCGACTCAATTGGAGGTCTACTACCTTTCCGTCCTCTTCTTCGCCCGAGAATCCCTGCGCGTTGCCGTCCAGCGCCAGGAAACTCAAGGCAGTGCCGCAGGCCATTCCTCCAACAGCAAAAAGGATGATGATCCGAAAGCTCGCATAGGTCGAGAGAGCCAGGCCGTGGTCAACTTGGGCTACCTCGCCGTCCTCCTAGGCTTCTTTGTCACCATCGGCCTCGGATGGCTGTACCTCGCCTCCGTCGACTCGTCCACCGCCCAGACGCCAAACTTCCTCCTGGCCCTCCGCCTCTACGCCCTAGCCGCCATCCTTGAACTCCTCTCGGAACCCTGCTTCGTTCTCATGCAGACGCGCCTACGCTTTGGCACCCGCGCCACCGCCGAGTCCATTGCGACCTTCCTCCGATGCACCGTTACCTTTGCCACCGCCTTCTGGGCCTCCAGGGCTGGCGTCGAATTCGGCGTGCTCCCCTTCGCCGTCGGTCAGCTCTCCTACGGCGCAAGTCTGCTGGTAGTCTACCTCTGGTCCGCATCCCGACTCGCCCGCGCAGATGGCTTCTCTCTCCTCCCAAAGAGCCTGGCTTCCAACTCTAGCGGCGTCGGAGAGGACTACCTCGCCTCCTACTTTTACCGCCCCACCGTCAGTCTGGCCTCCAGCATGACAGCGCAAAGCCTCGTCAAGCACGTCCTCACCCAGGGCGACACCTTTCTCGTCTCGGTCCTGTCTACTCCCAAATCCCAGGGCGTCTACGCGCTGGCCAGCAACTATGGAGGTCTCCTGGCCCGTCTTGTCCTCCAGCCCATTGAGGAGAGCAGCCGCAGCTACTTCAGCCGTCTGCTCTCCTCCCACGATGCAAAGATCAAATCTTCACCATCCACCAAGGACACGGCAGCAACAACCACAGCAAGCCAGCACCTTCATACCCTCCTCAAATTCTACATCCTCCTCTCCTCCATCATCGTGAGTATCGGCCCCGTCGCCGCACCGCCGCTCCTCTCCCTCGTCGCAGGCCAACGCTGGGCCTCCGAGGGCGCAGGCGACGTCCTGGCCGTCTACTGCTATTACCTGCCCCTCCTCGCACTCAACGGCGTATCCGAGTCCTTTGTCGCCTCCGTCGCCTCCGAGGCCCAGGTCCACCGCCAATCCGCCTGGATGGGCGCCTTCTCCGTCGCCTTTGGCTCGGCCGCCTTCTTCTTCATGCGCGTCATGGACCTCGGCGCCCAGGGCCTCGTCTACGCAAACTGCATCAACATGCTGTGCCGCATCGTGTGGAGCCTCGCCTTCACCAAGTCGTACTTTGCAGGGTTGGAAACGCCGTTTGAACTCTTTTCGCTGCGGCCTAACGCCGTCACCTCTATCGTCTGTCTATCGGCGCCGCACCTCATCAGGAGGGTTGCCGGGATTGCCTCGGCGGGCGTGTCTACTTCCCCATTCAAGGACCTCATCGCCATCGGCCTAGCCGCCGTTCCCGTCGTACTTTTGATGTGAGCCTTTCCCGCCCTCCCCGTCGTTCGCGCCGCTCTGGCCTTGTGTGTGTGTGCGTGTGTGCTTTTTCCCTCCATCTAACATGACCTCAGACTCTTTGCCGAACGCAGATTTCTCCTGCAATGTTACAACTCGGCACGCAAGCCAAAGACAGCATAGACATGACTACCTCAGGGTGGTAAATAAAACACGTAGAAATCCTCCCGAGAAGCACAGAAAAAGAAATTAGTAACAAATCAGTCAAACGTAATCTTGGTCGCCTTCTTCGTCATGTCAACGTCCTTGAAAAAGGCGCCGTAGGTGCTGTGAGCCTTCTTCTTGACGGTCGTGCCGAACTTGAAGAGATCATCGGGGACCTCTTGCTTGGCACCCTTGAGGATGTTGATCAAACTAGTCAACTTCGTTAGCATCCATCTTTATACTCCGTTTTGATTCCAGGCAGGGTGACTCACGATCCAGAGTGCGCCTTGTCGTGCTCGGTAAACAGGGTAATCGCCTCGCCAGTCTTGCCAGCACGGCCAGTACGTCCAATTCGGTGAACGTAATCCTCAATCGTCAAGGGGAACTGTCAAAGAATTAGCTCGAGTACTCATTACCGACGTCCAGAAACAGCAAGAAGCAACTCACAGTCACGTTGACGACTAGCTTGACCTCGGGAATATCCAAACCACGAGCAGCAACATCAGTAGCGACCAGCACGGGCGTGGTACCAGCCTTGAAAGCCTCCAAACTCCTCGTGCGCTGCTCCTGGCGCAGATCACCGTGGATACCGCCAACGTTGATGCCGCGCTGCTGCAAAAAGGTCTCGACGCGCGTGGCCTCCTTCTTGTACAGGCAAAACACCAGGATACGGTCGTCCTTCTTGGCGCCCGTCTGCCACTGCTTCAGGATCTGCAGTAGCCTCTGCTCCTTGGCGCGCGGGTCGACGACCTCGACGCGCTGCGTGATGCGCGTGTTGGCCTGCAGCTCGACGGCGCCGTTGGCCGTCTCCTTGCCGCTCGAGCCGATGGTGATCTTGACGGGGTCGACCATGAAGGACTCGGCGAGCTTGCGCACCGACGCGGGCCAGGTGGCCGTGAACATGACCGTCTGGCGCTGCTCGCGCGGCGGCATGTCGCCGAGGATGAGCTTGATGTCCTCCTCGAAGCCCTTGTCCAGCATGCGGTCCGCTTCGTCGAGGACGGCGAACTTGACGTGCTGGAGCGAGATGGTGCCGTCCTGCATGAAGTCCTTGAGGCGGCCGGGCGTGGCGACGATGACGTCGGCGCCGCGGTTGAGGAGGTTGCGCTGCTCGTCCTTGGAGGCGCCGCCGTAGATGCAGATGCTCTTGAGGCCGAGCAGGCTGGACACGTGCTCCATCTGCTCCTGGGTCTGCATGGCCAGCTCGCGGGTCGGGGAGACGACGACGGCCTTGATGCAGCGCTTCTTGATCTTGGAGATGCCTTCGACGAGCGGCAGGGCGAACGCCATGGTCTTTCCGGAGCCCGTCTCGGCGACGCCGATGACGTCCCGGCGGGCGAGGGTGTAGGGCCACGAGGCGGACTGGATCGGCGTTGGCTTCTTGTAGGCGGCAAAGGGGTTCTTCTTGACGAGGTCGGTCTTGGGGAGGTAGGCGAACTCGAGGATGGCGCGGAGGGCGGCGTTGCTCGTTATCGGGTCGGTGACGGTGATGTTCTCGGCGGCTAGGAAGGCGTCGAGATCCGATTGGGGCAGGGCCTTGAGGGCCGCGGCCTCCTCGTAGCCACCGAGAATCGCGGCGGTGGGAGTGGAAGCGGTGACGGCAGCGGCGGCGGGAACGGCGGATGCGCCGTTGCTCTCGGCCTCCTTCTCTTTCCTCTTCTTCTCCTTCTTCTCCTTCTTGAGTCTCTTCCTCTCGGCCTTGTCCTCCTCGGTCTCCTCCTTGGACTCAGAAGCAGCGGCCGGGGCCTCCTTCTCCTCCTCAGCAGCAGCCTTGGCCTTCTTGCGCTCCTTCTTCTCCTTCTTTTCCTTCTTCCTCTGCTTCTTCAGCTCCGCCGCCTCGTCGCTGTCGACATCGCCACCCGCGGCGAGGTCCTTCTTCTGCTTCTTGCTGGTGACACTGGCCTCGGCCTCGGTATCGGCGAGGGAACGCTTCGTGGCGGCCATTATTGCGGTGGTGGTAACAGAGATTGACGCAACAATTGATTTACGGAGAGATTTGCCGTGAGAAGCAAAGACTCTTTGGGGGGGTCGGTCAGTCGCAAATGTCAAAGGGCGGGAAGAAGGAAAAAAAAAAAAAAGAATTTTGTTTATCGATAGGCTGATAACGGTGCTCCCACATGGTCGCACGATAACGCGATAAGACCTCGAGTATCAGATAAGAAAAAGACCCTGCGCTAAGCCGACTTCAGCCACTCGTCTCCGCTGGCCATCCCGTCCCCGAATCGGAGGCCCAGGGACCCCACTCCGGCCCTTTGCACTCCAGGATGGCTCCACCTTCCCCCGCCTTACACGTCCGCTTCACTCGACAGCTTCCCCTCACGCCCGTCCACCCCGAGCGCCAGCTGTTGTTCTCGCTCAAGACGGAAAAAGCTGTTGCCTGAGCCTCTCAGTCTGCAAAGCATTCCTTTGGACGCTCCTTCACATGCGGCAAAGTGCTAATGCGAACGGCTGCATGATGCCCCTGGCTAAGGAACACACAGTGACGGCTTGGCTCGGTCAGCTTACAACACTCCTTTGGACAAGATGAGGTACTTTCGTTACTCTCGCAATCTTTCACTCAAGTGAGTGCCGTGAATGAGACAAAGTTTGGACATTTGACGGATACAGCTACGTAGTATGCTCAAGAAGTCTTGAAAGTGGATACAACAGCCTACGACGTCGGGAGCATCCCAGGAGAAGAAGTAAACGAGGCCCAACGGCGCAACGTCGATAGACGGCACCTAGGCATACACACGCAGCAGGCCACAAAAAGGGTCGGGTTCCGGTCGCACATATCGCGGCCAGACTCAACCAACCAATAAGTCACGCTTGGCGTCAGCAAGACGGCCCAACCCTGCAAAGAAAACGGGAGCTAAGCATCCTGTTGCTTCTTTTTCTTCGAGGCATTTCTGCAGCCAGCTACCGTAGCGAGGAGACTACGTACAGATCTGTTGTCCGACCCTGCGGCGTTCCGTTCCCCTTCCAATGGGGTTCATTGTGGTGCCACATGGGGGGTATGACGGTCGAGTATAAACCATACCGCGGGGGACGAGGGGACGGGAGAGCACATCACCCTGCAGGAGGCAGTCCGTCCAGGGTCCGGCCATTGGCGATGTGCTCCGTCACACACAGCTGATTGCGGCGTTGACCCTTGTAGCTGCCTTTCTTGATAGCTGCCCACGTTGCATGTCGACGCTGGCAATGCGGTATCCTTCGTGGAGGAGGTAGGCAAGACCTAGAGGAGGGGGGATAAGGAGAAGAGAGACACATAAAAGGCATGAAGTGACAGCATACCTCGACGGAGGGCCACCTCCCCGTTTCCGCCCCCCTTCCTACTTCCACGCCTCGCAACGATCAGCTACAACCAGCCATGGCAAGCTGCCAGGTGCAGGGCGAGCCCGGCCTCTACGGCCTGGGCATTCGCGTCGCCTTCTACATCCAATGGTTCGGCGCCATCGTGGTAGAGTACCTCGACATGACAGACCTCCCCGACATGCGCCTCCTCGGCCTCCTCTTCTCCGCCGCGGCCTTCCTCGGCCTCGTCATACACCTCTCCGTCGCGGCGGCGGCCAGCAGCGTACAGCCGGCCGACGTCTACATTGTCCTCCTGCTCGCCATGGGCATCTACATCCCGCTCGTCCCGCTCTACCTCTGGAAGACGGTGACGTGCTTCAGCCGGTATTGGGATCCGTTTCGGTGGTCTAGGGAGACGCCGAGCCCGGCGTACAAGGGGTTGAATTTCATGTTGTTGCTGGCTATTGCGTCGCTTGGTGTGTGGTATTGGTGCTCTTTTGCGCCGGAGAACGATTGTTCTTCGGAGCAGTATGGGTTCTTCTTTAGCCGCGTGAGTTTAGGCAATAAGGCGTTTGTGGCATTTAATGCCATCATGTACTTTGTCATCCTCTTTGTGTGTGTGCTCGTCCTCCTGCTCAAGGTCGGTTGGAAAGTGCCCTTTTGGAGGGAGAGGCGGAGGAAGCGGAGAGTCAAGTGAGTGGCCCACCCTTGACCCAACGATGAAGAGGTTTTGGGACTGATACTATTTGGTGTCTAGGCGAATGCACATCATGGCGATCAAGGAGATGAAGACGCTGAGCAACGTTGCCGTGGCCGCGACACTTACCGCAGCCGTCGAGCTGGCCGTCGTCTGGAATAAGATCCCCGACGTGAATAACGTCGCGGATGTGGCGCAGGTCTTGCCTCTACTTGTTAGTGCTGGCTTCCTGGTCCGGATCCTCTTCCTGCATTTCGCGGGTGTAAATGACGCTTCGGATTCGTCAGAGGAGGATAGTGATGGGGGGTCGCATAGTTACATGACGGAGTCCCAGGGCGGGTTGCCGCCGGCACCACCGCCTGTTCATCCGCGGTGATGGCATAGTGGCTGTGGTTGTTGGAGGTGGAGGTGACGATGATTTGATCTAGAGGTGTACATTACTGTTCTTGTATACCGAAGCACGAGAGACTGGAACACGACCTTGGTCAGTGAGGAGTTCTTGCTAGAAACATTCAGAGAGTCATGGGATGATATCATTGATAGGGGATCCGAAGATTTGAAGTATATCAAGATGTATTGCAGCTTTTGCTCATCCATCCAATATCATGCTCGCCTGCTACCCCCCACGCTTCTCCATGCTCATGATATGGATCACAATGACAGCCACCTAAACCATCGTACATTCAACTCCCAACTTTGCCCATCCACCCAGGCACGCTCGTAACCCTCCCCATCTCATCCACAGTCTCATCCCATAACATCCTCTGCAACCTCCAGCCGTCGTCCGAGACAGCAAACCCATCCGGCCTACACATCACCGTCAGTCAAAGCACAACAAATCATAAGAACAACTCACTCCCAAATCTCCTTATCCCCCAACGTCTTCCCATGCGTCTCCCCTCCCGCAACAGAAACAGCATGAACCCCAATCCACCCAGCCACCTCCGGCGTCCTCGCCCTCACAGCCTTCACGGCGTCAGCGATGAAGCGGAAGGGCTGGGGGAGAACATTGCTCATGTTCGTGTCCACCATCCCGGGACAAAAGGCGTTGACGATAACCCGCTGCTCTTCCTCGCTCCCGGTACCTACACCAACACCATAATGCCTCGACAACTCCCGCAAAAACAAGAATCCAAGAAGCTTACTATCCGCATACCGCGCCATCCCATCAAACTTCGCCTCAGCATCAAGGTGTCCGAGAACCGATCCCCCCTCTGCCACACCCGCCTTGCCCGCCAAATTCGTCTTCCCAATCGCCCGGCTCCCCGTCCAAGTAAGCCGTCCAGCCCTCCCCGTCTCGCGTGCCGTAGCCTCCAAAAGCGGAAGCAGCTCCAACGTAAGAAGCACATTCGAGAGATAATTCACCTGCACGGCCGCTTCGTGCCCCGTCACCGCAACGCGGCGTCGGAGTCCCGGCACGCCGGCGTTGAGTATCGCGATGTGGAGGCGCGTGTGCTTCGACGTGAAAGTTTGCGTAAAGGTTTTGACGCTGGTGTAGTCTTCTGTGTCGAGCTTCATTACCTCCACGACGGGGGGTTGGGAGAGAGAGCGGAGGGATGGGTTGGCGAGGAGGGATTGTCTTGTTGCTTCGCCTTTGGATACGTCGCGGACGGCGAGGATGAGGGGGGAGGCGCCGAGGAGTAGGAGTTGGCGGGCTAGGGCGAGGCCGATGCCTGATGTTGCGCCTGTTACTATTGCTGTCTGGCCGTGGAGGGTTAGGCCGTTGGGGAGGGGGCCGACTGGAGGCTGGAATAGAGGCATCTTGGATTGAGGTTAGGACGATAATGTTTGAATAGCTTGCTAGTGACCTTTGGCTACCACTATTGCTCCTTGTAGACCATCCTCTCGTCCTGTTTATGAAGCCATCGCCAATATGCCATCTTCACGATCCAATCCCAACTCCGCCAAGTCCTCAGATGCCCTCAGCATTCCAAAGTCCGCCATTCCTTACTTTTTTCCAATCATCAGTGACTGCGAAGGATTTCGTAGAGGATTTGGCGGACTTGTGCTTCGTCACGGTTGCTTGCGACGCAATTAGTCATCCATGATGTCGCCGGGCGCTTGACCATCAGTACGATTGCTCGTTGGCGGCTGTGGCGGAGACGGTGCATTGCATGAGCTACCGGAGCCTAGACTTCCAGAGTCCTGTCGACGAGAAGTCTCCGAGGACATGCCGAAGCCCGATGGGATCGGGTCTAAAGCCGGTCTTCGGCTCACATACCGTCAGCCGGTTCCGGGGGCTGAGTGACTCAACATTTCTCAGTCGCCACGAGAGTGGGAAACTATGACCTGTTCTCAGGAGCAATCCCTCTTATCGTAAATGATGACGGGTCGCGGGTGTCTTTGTTGGCCGCAGGCGTGACCTGCATTATAGCAACTGGGTTGGATCCTTACGGGTATGATCCCGAGGTCACCCAGCCCCCGCTCCCTCATTCTAAGAGCGGCGCAATCTGGGATCTTAGTCACAAGCGTCGGCACTCGCAATACCCCGTACAGGTCTCGAACTTCTTGTGACCGGTTTGAAATGAAGCATTGAGTGGCGCATGGGTGGCAGGACAATGTCGTTCTCTGGCATTGCGTCTCTGTCGGGGTCGCTGATAAGCTGGCCACTAACTAAATGGTATTCTCAACACTGACGTACAACCAACCCTGCCCTCAAAAGCCTTCTGGTAGACATGAAAAAAGGCCTGTTTCGCGGCAGCGTCGATGCTTCGTGTAGCGACTGCGCAGTCGCTGGAGAGGAGCTCTCATCCCATACAAGCCCTGCGAAAAACAAAGGATAGCCATAATTTCCTTCCCAAACTCCGAATTTTGTTGAAAAAAAAAGTCGATGAACAAGACGGCGGTAAATCTCGTTTTGTTGGCAAATTCTGCCCTTCCCTCTAGGCCTCACACCCGGGGATGTCCTCTCTTCATCCCTCCCCCAGCCGAACTCCAATGACGCGTGACAAAAGAAAGGTATCGGTGGAGTTGTTTATGCGGAGGCGGAGGCGGCAGACTCGGCCTTGACCTCGGTGCCGGCCAGGTTGGTGGGCTTCGCGTTGGGGTTCTTGGTGTAGTAGTCGGAAATGGCGGCCTTGATAGCGTCCTCGGCAAGCATGCTGCAGTGGAGCTGCGTTGTGTTAGTTACTGGGCGATGGAGCAAGAGGATTGCGCTCATTCACGTACCTTGACGGGAGGAAGCTTGAGCTCCTGGGCAATCTCGGTGTTCTTGACGCGGCCGGCCTGCTCCAAGCTATACAGTATGTCAGTATCAGCGCGGTCAAAACGTCGAGGGCAAGGTCACTCACGTCATTCCACGGACGAGCTCGGTGAGGTAGCTGGAGGAGGCGATGGCGGACCCGCAGCCGAAGGTCTTGAACTTGACGTCGGAGATGACATTGGTCTTGGGGTCGACACGGATGTTGAGCCTAGAGAGTTATGTCAGCGCTTGCAACGTGATGGCGAAAGGTTCTTGTTGCGGTGTCGCTGAGGAACAGATGGTATGCGTCAGGACGCAAGAGAATGGGTAGCGAGGCAGCGCATCGTGACCGAGACCCGAGTGCACGCCACCCCAACCCGAGCGTTCCAAACAACGATGTTGTGGGATCGAGAGTATGATTCGAGGATGGCTTACTTCATGACATCACCGCAAGCGGGCGCACCGACGAGACCTTGGCCGACGTCCTGGTCGCCCTTGGGCATGGAACCGACGTTACGGGGGCGGGAGTAGCTGTACACCTCAAGTTAGCCCTCTGTGTCTTCCCAATGAGATATCCGGGGTTGCATACTGGTCAAGGACCTTCTCGTGGTATCCCCTCGTCGCGCCGACAGTGACAGCAGGTGCAAGCTGACGAGCGGGCAGGGTGGAAGGACGGACAGAGGTCGCAAGGACCCTGCGAGAGGCGACGCGGAGAGATCTGGAGAACATTTTGGTCGAGTTTCGGACTGGTGGTTTTTCAAAGAGGTGCAGGTCGATGAATATCGAGCTTGGGCAGCTTAGATCGGTAGGAACGTAGTCGCAAGGGTCGATTTAAGGTCTCGTTGATGAGTTGAGATGGCGATGGCGACAAAAAGTGGTCGATATAGCAATTTGCGTTTGGCAAAGGATCGAGGTGTTGAGGGGAGCAGATTTGGAGGAAGGCGAGAACTTAGCTGGGAGGATAGATGGAAAATGGAAATTATTAGACATGGCCTGCGGGACTTGTGACGGAGAACGATGGCGATCTCGGGGGTAGCAGAAGCCGACGGGCCAATGGGAGCGTTCAATGACCATGCATTAAGTCATGGACAGTGGCCGGCCACTGCCTACCGCCTACCTACGCAGTAGGTACCAGGTATTCACTGCGCTAACCTACTTCGTATCTTAGCACGCAGTTACAGTCGTAGAGGATGGCTCGGCGCCTCGGAGAAGACATTTTTTCATCCGCCTCCACAGCGCCGAGGGTTCCCAGCCTTTAATCCCAGCCAAAGGTGGAGGGCATTTCCTTCCATCTCCGTTCCAAGGTTCCTTTTTTAGTGCCTTTTTCAGAGTGTCAGAGTGTCAGAGCTGCAGACCAGCCCGTTATCTGACCCACTCTTTGTGGTTAGAGAGATATCTAATTGGTCGGGGCGATGCCGTGTTTCCTCGGCACAGCAAGAAGGCATCGATGCGCAACCACGACTTTGGTCCTGCCGTCCACGGTTGACCGTCCACATCGTTGACCTTGCCTTATCGGACCCATACAAATTGGCTATCAGATGCAGGTGACCAGCTGGCAAAGTGAGAATCCATCAATCCAACAGCTCTACGTGCTCCAAGTGGGGATAATTGGGGGGTTTCTTGACGGGGCTTGACGGGGCTCGACGGGGCGGCGAACAATTTGTCATGGTTCTTCGCCGTTGTCGCCAGCGAAAGAGATTGAATCTGATTAGATACGCAAGCCACCTCTGTGCTCGCTGAACTTTGGGTCCTAACGCATTTGTGCATGTCCGCTTCCAATGGACGCCTAAGTCCGGGGAAACCGCTTACGTACATTTCACCACACAAAATGGCTCCGCATATGCATCTACAATGACCTCTTGCCACGGACATGCAAGCAACCCAAAAGATGCTCTTATCCATCTACCTTTCGCTCAATGCGTCTCCATTTCACTACGTAATCCTCAAAATGTGAGGTGCACGCCACACTGTGCCCCCCCCCCCCCTCCAAAGCTGAGCTAATGACACCAACCACTGTCACCCAAGCCCCAGGGAAGCTGCCAAAGTAAGTTCAGGCACCAGGTCCCTGTAACTCCAACGCGGGGCACTCAGTCTACCCACCACCACCACTTTCTCCCGTCTTCGCCTGCAACAGCTTGAGCACGAGCACAGCCTCTCACCTCGTTGCTAAGCTCTATCGCCTCCCGTTGGCTGCCTGTTTTGTCTCTTACACCGACTGCGAGGCTGAACACAACTCAGACGCAAAACGAACACACCCTCCGCCTCTTTCTCCCAACTACTTACACCTCCGGATTCGCGGCCAACCCCACATAAGGTATCTCAGAGACGACAACCTCGACTTGGAAGCCTTCTAATATCGCTCCAATCATGGCGTGCCCGCATCTTGAGTCCATAGCTGCAGGTAATTACTACCCAGTCTATCTTCCTCACCTTAGCTCTGTCCGACATCTTGACGCTGACTGAACCTTCCCCAGCGCTTCAGCCGCCTGCACCTCACAACTCGGTCTACCGGGAAGATTGCACCCAGTGCTTCGATTCCATCGTACGCCTCGCCCATGATCCGCTCGCTTCTGCTGTGTGTTGACCTCCCCAACTAGGACGACCCTGCCGGTGTCGATGTTTGCCTCCAGTGCTTCAACGGCGGTTGTGCTGGTGACCGCAGCCATGCCCAGCTCCACCGACAGCTCTGGAGCCACCCGCTCGTTCTCAACATTCGCCGCACCCGCAAAGTCGTTGTTCGAGATGAACCACCCTTGAAGATGTCCAAGCTCGCCATCGCCGCCGAGACCGAGGCCGACCGATACGATACCACAACCGCTGTCAAATGCCTTGAGTGCAACCAGGAGCTGGACAAGACAAGCGACAAGCTTGCCCCCATTGTGGACGGCATCATGAAGGCCAACACCTTCTCGAGGAAAGAGGAGGTCAAGGCGTGGGAGCAGGAGCTTACGAGCTGCGAGCACATTCTGCTCATGCAACAGACCGAATCACGAACCATCCAGTCTGGTGATCTCGGACACTGCTCCGCCTGTGATCTGCACGAGAACCTGTGGCTTTGCTTGGAATGTGGAAATCTGGGCTGTGGACGGAAGCAAATGGGAGGTGTCGACGGCAACTCTCACGCCCTCGCACATTCGGACCAGTCCGGCCATGGTGTTGCTGTCAAGCTGGGATCCATCACCCCCGAGGGAACCGCCGACGTCTACTGCTACAAGTGCGACGAAGAGCGCATCGATGGCGATCTTGGCCAGCACCTGGGACACTGGGGCATCAACTTGGCGAACCAACAAAAGACGGAAAAGAGCTTGACCGAGATGCAGATTGAACAGAACCTGCGCTGGGACTTTAGCATGACCACAGAAGACGGCAAGGAGCTTAAGCCTCTGTTTGGTGCTGGATTGACGGGCCTCAAGAACCTTGGCAACAGCTGTTACCTCGCCAGTATCGTTCAGTGTCTCTTTGACACAACCGCTTTCAAGGATCGCTACTACTTGCCCAGCCGCGACCTTCCCAATGTTCAGGAGCCTGCGGCAGACTTGGAGACCCAGCTCCGCAAAGTTGCAGACGGCTTGCTCTCGGGTCGGTACTCGAAGCCCGACTCAGATGTGACTGCATCTGAGCACTCGCCCGCGATTTCGCACCAAAAGGGATTGGCCCCGGCCATGTTGAAGCACCTGATTGGAAGAGGCCACGAAGAGTTCTCGACCATGCGGCAGCAGGATGCTTTCGAGTTGCTGCAGCATATTTTCAAGCTCGTCACTCGGTCTCAGCATCCCTCCGATCTCGGCGACCCGACACAGCCGTTCCGCTTCACTCTGGAGCAGCGGCTGCAGTGCCTGGGATGCAAGAAGGTGCGGTATTCGACTAACGAGCAAGATAACATCTTCATCGACGTTCCTCTGGAGAAGGAGCCCACTGTCGAGGGCGAGGAGACCAAGGCGGACGCCTACAAGGCCGTGACTCTCAAGCAGTGTCTCGACAACTTCACGGCCGAAGAGGTCGTCGAGCTGACTTGCTCCGCATGTGGTAGCAAGGACGGCTACACCAAGCGCTCCCTGTTCAAGACTCTTCCCGAGAACCTGGTCGTCAATGCCCGCAAGATGGCAGTCATCAACTGGGTCCCTGTTAAGCTTGACGTACCCGTTATTGTCCCCGATGAGCCCTTCCTCCTCGACGACTACCTTTCCAAGGGTCTGCAGGCCTCAGAGGAAACCCTTCCCGACGAGCCTGAGGCCAGCGCTCCAGCTTTCGTTGCCAACCCGGAGGCTGTCAGCCAGCTGGAGGCTATGGGCTTCGGACGCAACCGCTGCGAACGGGCGTTGCATGCCACCGGCAACTCTGACGCCAACGCTGCCATGGAGTGGCTGTTTGGTCACATGGAGGACCCCGATATTGATGACCCGCTCGTGTTGGGTGGCGGCGGTGCGGGAGCTGGAGGAGCATCGGCGGATCCGGAAAAGATTGAGATGCTCGGCGCCATGGGTTTCTCAGTGCCTCAAGCGAAGAAGGCTCTGCGTGAGACTAGTGGTGACGTGGAGCGAGCTGTCGAGTGGCTCTTTAGCCATCCCGAGGACCAGGGCATCTTTGAAGACGAAGCCCCAGCCGCCGGAGCCGATCCCGCTGCTCCCAAGACGGACGCCGGCAGCGCCGCCACCCCTGCAAATTACCAGCTCCAGTCTATTGCCTGCCACAAGGGCACAAGCATCCATGCTGGGTATGTTGATGATGGCCACCTTGAGACTGACTTTCAGGGTTTGCTAACAAGTTCACAGTCACTACGTCGCCTTTGTTCGCAAGGAGGTCAACAGCCAGCCTACGTGGGTTCTCTTCAACGACGAAAAGGTTGTCGAGGCAGGCGAGATTGAGGAGATGAGAAAGTTTGCCTACGTCTACTTTTTCAAGCGTGTTTAGGTGGAAATTGGGCGTAACAAGAAAGGCGTTTCGGTTTCGGGGCAGGGGTGACGACGAAAAAATCAAGCCAGGATCAATCGGTCCTGCGCAACTTCATGACGGCGGTGGTGGGAAAGGGCCACGGATGCATCTGATGGGATGGGGATGACTGCATTACAGCATGGGCGGGCGGCGGTTTACTGTGGAGAGACGAGACAATGCATAGTGAGGGGTTTAGAAAAAGGGAGACTTGAGGCTACTTAGCCGTCCATTGAGATTATGAACTTTTCTAGTGATTGAGATCTGCCAGTCTTTTGTGTCTTTCTTCCATGGCAAGAAAATCCAGTGGTCATTCGACAGCAAATGACCGAGAATACCACCAAAACGCCCCGACGCCACACAACCATCATATTACATACACACAGATTTCCGTGGTGTGTTCTCCCACTTGATCCATGAACTTATCATGACCTTTTCTCGTCCGCCAATCAAAACATAACGCACATCCTACACCGAGCCAGCAGGCCACAACAACAACAACAACAACAACAACAACAACAACAACAACAACAACAACAACAACAACAACAACAACAACAACAACCCCCAAATCCTACTCCGCTAAGCGGTAGCTGACGAGGGTATCAACGCGGTGGTTGCTGGTGCTAAACCCACGCAGCTGAACGCGCTCGCCATTGACAATCTCCTTGGCGTCGCTGTCGCCCCACTCGACGGGCACCTCGGAGTCCGCATCCGCGTAGACGAGGACGTTGAACGTGCAGTCCCCGTTAAGCTGGGGGAGGAACGTGACGGAAGCGGTGATTTGGCGGAAGATGGCTGCGATTTCAGATTGGATTTCTTGTTCTGTCTTTTCGGGGGTTGCGTCTTCCGCGGAGGCGGGGGATGCGTTTTCTTGGTCTGTTGGTTTTGAGGAGGTCTTGGAGGAGGAAGAAGAAGAAGACGTCTTTGAGGATTTGGATTTGGAGGGGCGGCCAAAGATTTCGACGTCGAATTGCCAGCGTTCTACGTGTTCGCCCGTGTCCTTGTCTGTGATTACGATGACGAGCTTGGAGATTTTGCCGCGGAGCATCCAGCGGTCTAGTTGGGACATGATCTTTTTGATGTAGGCTCGGACTTGGTCGTCGGAGGAGACTGGAGAGGTGGTGTTAGCTTGTGGAGGGGTCTTTTCTGGAGGCGAAAATGAGGGGAATGTCAGGAAGTCGAACCTAGCATGTTGAGACCGTATTTCTTGACGCTGCAGAGGGTTGGTTAGTCTTCATCTGTCGCGGGAGGGGAAGAAATCCAACGCTAGACGTACGCTGAGAAGTCTTCTGCCGGGTAGACACCTCGTTGGAAGCTATGGGGAGGATAGGTCAGCATTCGAGTTGGCGCATGTCGAGGGGACGGGACGAGGTTTCGTACAGGATGGTGTGTATCGAGTATTGGAACTGTAGGTAAAGGAGTTAGCTCGGCGCATCGGTCAAACTGGCAATGACAGCCAGAGAGGACGGAAAGAGAGACTGACGAATTCTGCCACGAGCTTTGCGCTTCCCTTGAGGGCGAGCTTGTGCACCTTGGACTTGTCCTCCTTCTCTGACTTGTCGGCCTTGCTAGCCTTGCTGGCTTTGGCAGGTTTGGCGTCGGGAGCCATCGTGATAGATCTCGGGGTATCAATTGGCGATGTCGATCGGTGGTATCGGATATCGATATCGGTGTCGAGACGGAGGACGGAGGTGATGTTGGACCCGGGAGGCGGCGTTACCGGGGAGGAGGACGACGGAGAGTTTGTTTACTTTCGGGGGTTGAGATTGAGATTTGGGATTGATTTTTGGGGGTTCGGCTGCGGGGTGATTTGGGTGCAGGCGGCGCTGGCTCGTCATTGCTCGCGGCTGATTGCCCCGCCGCCTGGGCCGTCCGGGGGTCGAAGCTCCCGGCAGTCCACTTGGGTACGTATATGTTCTACATACTCCGTACCTTGACAAGGTGAACCCTTCACCTTACCTCACCTTGTCTCACCTTGTCTCACCTTCCCTTACCCCATTTTATTATCTCAACTTCATCTTCAACATTTTAGCCTTAAACCTCGCAAACATAGAGATAATTTGGTTCCAGGTTATTGAGGACAGCTAACAAATACTTGGGCAGATGCGGCAAAATGACGGCCGAGTCCTCCTGCGGGTCTATTCACACTATCAAAGACGTGATGACTCGCTGGGAGAGTTCTTGGTTTAACAAGAAATTACGATTGCAGGCTGCTAACTGATATAATTGCCATCACCCACTTACCTATTGCTAGCTGAAATTATCACATATACCAAGCAAGTCGCAGTCGATACAATCTATCATCCTGTCATGAAGGGTTTCGAATACAGCGTTATGAAGAACGTAACCATATCTTGAGCAATCCGCTTGTAGAGAGTTTCTTCACACATTGGTTGAGTATTTCAAATAAATACGCTTAGTAACTATAGAACAGAAAGTAGTCAAGGTGAAAGAAGGCTACTCTACACTTATACAGCGTTTGGCGTTCCTTTTTTTGTTTGTGTTTCCTCTTCTGATTCGTCACCATCAGGTCCACCCACTTCTAATCCCCGCACATCAAGACAATGTTTATTCTCAACGCACGCAACACTTCGCGACGATGATGAACCCAGACGAGAACACTCTCAAACCAAGCCATGACAAATCCCACTATGATTTCCTACAGACTGTCCAAACCTTGGACCCGAAACACGTACCTTCCGCAGAACGCGGCGCTTCCCGCAGAAGGCTAATCATTGTTGGCGACGTTCACGGACGAGTATCACAGCTCCACAGGCTCTTGCACAAGATCAACTTCGATAAGGATGCAGGAGACCACCTCGTCTTCACCGGCGACCTGGTCAACAAGGGCCCCGACAGCGCCGGCGTGGTGCAGCTCGCCATGAACCTCGGCGCGAGCTGCGTCAGGGGCAACAACGAAGACCGCGTGCTGGCGGCGCGTGGGTTTGTCGAGCGCGGCAGGGTTACTGGGCCTACGGGCGACGACGGGAAAATGTATTTTGAAGACAGCAAGGAGAAGTTGCCAGCGGACATCCCGTACGCCGTGTCGAGCGACTATGTTACAGCGACACAGCTTTCTGGGGAGCAGGTATCCTGGCTGGCGTCGCTGCCTCTCATCTTGCAAATCGGACCGTTCAAAGGCGCCAAGAGTCCTCCTTGGAACTCTGGGAGCGTGGTGGTTGCACATGGTGGTCTGGTACCGTTACTGCCGATGGACGAGCAGGATCCTTGGGCTGTGATGAACATGCGCAGCCTGGTGTACCCGACCAACGGCGCTCACCCGGAGAATATTGTAGTGGCTCTTGCGAAGAGGATTAAGACGCGCCTGTGTCGACGTGCGGCATTCCAAGTGATAAAGGATGAGAGACTCAATGGTGAGCTGGCACGAGTCTTGAGTCTTTGGGATGGTAACGATGTTTCAAAGATTGCGAAAAATCAAGAGGGAGGGACCATCCCCATTGAACTCAAAGACGGGGAGCGCTGGAGAGAAGCTTGGAACGAGACGCAGAACATGATAGAGGTACCAGAGGATCGCTCCGTTGTTGTGTATGGTCACGACGCCAAGGAAGGGTTACAGGTGGAACCAGACGTGCAAGTTCCGGAATCGCTCAAGGAGAAAGGGGTCCAGGGACCATGGACTAGGTATGCGTTTGGATTGGATTCCGGCTGTGCGTATGGCAAAGAGCTATCGGCGATGGTGATTGAGACGAGTCCGGATGGAAGTGATGTTATACATCGTATAGAACAGGTCAAGGGGGTTTGAGGAATAAGACGTCGGGGGGGGGGGATCCGAAGATACCAGGGTGAAGCATGGGTTGCCACTTGTAAGTCAGACAATTTCCCATGATGTGCCACCTATCCTTACTCAGGTATGTTCTGTTCCTCGTCTCAGAGATTATGTTCTGGAGACCAGTCCTAAGCAATACGGAGAGAATCGAGCGTGGCAGGGAAGAGTGATGTGAGTAAGTGGGAATCGGCTGCAACGTCCAAGTTCGTGTGCCAATCGTGCGGGACAGCAAGACATGCAAGACTTCTGAATCAGAGCCAAAGAAGCATACGGTTGAAGAAGAGATCTATCATAGTTCTCCCAAATATGCAAGGGTTAAAAGCGAGTAGTACTGGGGTAAGTACGTAAAGTGCATGTCTAAACGTACGAGTGACAAATCTATCATCGGGTATCATCTTGAGCTATCTGTTTAAGCACTGAATTGGTTGCCTACTAAACACGCCTCACGCTCTAGAATGTTTCTGCGTTGGCAAAGCTATATGCACGGTCAGCAAAGGACGTTCCCGGGATAGATGCATCAGCTAGAGGAGTGCCATGATTACTTCACGGTATATGGTAATGGACCTGCGTGTAATTCAACACTCATCGTCAAAGTCGCAGACAAGCCAGGCACAGACAAGCCGGATGAAACTGGTCCCCTCATTGACTACCTCGACGCAACCTATACACATCTTGGCCGGGCGTTGTCTCTTCTTGGCACGGGCGAGGTGAGTGGTGAGTTTGGCTTGGCTTGGGCCTAGCGAGGATGCGGTCGAGGTAACAGAGTAAAAGCAACTGACACCCGCCGGAAATACCGGAAACCTCGGCATCGCCGGCTCCATCACCCAACGTCATTCTGCCCACTGCTCTTGTACAATACACTCTTTCCCCCCCTTCTCATCCGCCACACCCCCCCTTGTATTTCTTAATTGCGCCCATTCGAAAGGGAAAACATCATTGCAGCTATTTAGCTCGGGAAAGTCGGCTTTCGCGTGCCTCTGCAAGAGAATGTCAGATACCGCCGACGATGAACCCGTATACAAGCGTAAGCGGGTCGCAAAGGCCTGCCAGACCTGCCGATCCATGAAATCCAAAGTGAGATTACACAATCCAAGTCCCTTATACCCTTTCTTTACACACTGCAATAAGACCTACTTGTTTACGGCTTACTCATACATATCGACAGTGTGACGGAAAACAGCCAAAGTGTGGTAGATGCGTCGGGTACGGCTATGAATGCGTCTACTCCGTAGGAAGACCTCGCCGTCGACGGGAAAAGGCCACCGGGAACGGAGTTGCCGGCGCTGAAGGCGTCCCGGCCGGCCCTGGTCCCGGCGCTCACACGTATGTCGGCCTCCGCACCGCCGTAGATCAGTATGAGGCTCTGGCGCAGAGCCTCATTGCGCAGCTACCCTCGGCGCAACAGCAACAAGACGCTCAGGCGCAACTCAACGCCATCAAGTCGCAAGTCGACCAGGCTGTGAATAAGACGACTTCGGCAGAGACACCGGCATACTCGCCGGACGTGGACCGCGGGCAGCAAAACCACCAAGACTACCAACCTTCGCCGACACCCTCGCTCAAGCCTAGCCAGAGGTACTTGGGCGAGGTCAGCGACGTCCACTTCTTCAACGTGATTAAGCGCATCCTGCAGACCAAAGACGCTCCCGGCGGCGGGGCAGACCACGACTTTGACAGCTACGAACAGGACGGCGATGCGCTGCTTGCCGGCGCAGCCGCGGGAGGGAGGCTGGTGGAGCTGCCCGGTCCCGAAAAGGAGCGCAAGTTCACCGATGTCTATTTTGCGACCATCCACCTCGCGTACCCTTTCATACCGCAGTCTACCTTTTCGAAGCTGTGCGACAGGATAGGGGGCGCGCCCAACGGCGGTGATCGGTTGGGAGGCACAGAATCTGCTCTTTATTGTAAGTGTGAACCACACACTGTTGTAACATCAGCTTCCTGCGAGCCGTGGGGTCAGAGAATCAGATAAACTAACGTGACCCATAGATGTCATTTGCGCCATTGGTTCATATTACACGTCTTTTCTGGAGAAGAACTCGGATACCCGCCATTTCCACGGCGTCTACTTCCAGCGCGCTCTGGCTCTCGCCGCGTCAACGGCATCATCGGATCGGTCGATTAACCAGGTCTCACTGCTACTGACGCAATGTTTCTACTATCTCGCCGTATCTCGTACAGACAGGTTTGTTTACATTGTCTCAACATGTCCCCAAGCACATATCTGACACTCACAGCTGCTGGATGACCCTGGGCCAAGCTGTCCGGATCGCCCAAGGTATCGGCCTACACGTCGAAAAGGACAAGAACAATCCCCGACACACGGTGGAAACCGAGACGCGTCGCCGGGTTTGGTATTCCATCTACGTCCTGGACCGTCTCCTCTCCCTCCAGCTGGGCCGTCCCGCAGCCGTACACGAAGACGACTTCAACGTACCGCTTCCTTCGCGGCGCGCCGACTCGGAGATCGACTGGGAGGCCACTCACATGGAGCCGCCGGTTGAGGAGACGTCGGGCGGGGACTACTTCCTCGCCGTCATCGGCTTCTCGCAGATTTTGGGCCGCGCGCTGCGAGATGTCTTTGGGCCGAAACACTCGCAGCTTACCTCTGACGGTGCCCTCAGGACGAGGGAACTTGATCGCCAGCTTGTGGACTGGAAGTCGAGGCTCCCGCGACGGTTGCGATTTGATCTGGGGCACGCTTTTGACCAGAACTTTGCGTTCAAGAGACAGGCGAGTTTCCCCAGGACGCGAATTAGGTTTTTCGTCTTGAGTAAAAATGTGTGAATACAAACGCAGAACTGACAAACACCAGCGGAACATACTCGCAGTCAAATTTCACCATCTACGGGCCCTTCTCCACCGGCCATACCTATGCTATCCCCTCCTCCGCGGCCTCGACGACACCTCTTCCACACTCTCTCAGGTCGACTGGAACCTCGTCAGCATATCCGAAAAGACTTGCGTCGCCGAGGCGCGGGAAACGGCGCGGCTGCTGCACGGCGTCTCGAGCGAAAAGGACCTGGTCCACGACTTCCCCTGGTGGCAGATGATTTCGTGTCTCTTGTGCGCAAGCTCCATCCTGCTGATTTCGAGTACGTTCACACAGCCCATGGCGGAGGACGAGGCCGTATTCGACACCGAGGGCCTGTCGGACGACGCGGAGACGTGTCTTAAAATGTTTGAGGCGCTGAGCTGCAACTCGTCGAGCGCAAAGAGCGCGCGGGACATGTTGAAGGGGCTTAAGGAGTGCGGCGTCGACTGGAAGAGCAAAAATCCGCCCCGACCGGCGGTATTCGCTGAGATGCCGCAGCAGCAGCAGCAACAGCATCAACAACAGCAGCATCAGCATCATCAAGTGTCAAACAGCTCCTTGCAGGCGCAACATCAGGCGCAGCAGGCGATGCTGTCGCCGGTGGAGATGGGTGCGCTGAGCGGAATGCCGGACTCTGCTACCGCGCAGGATATCGGCATGCTCGGTATGGGTGTCGCTCCACTTGCGCCCGGTCAGTGGCCGGCGGAGATTGTGGACTCGATGGCGTGGTCTGCGCAGTTCTTTGATGCCATTCAGGGGTATGGGAATGGCGAGTGAGGGGCATTTCTTGGTGGGGGTAATGTTGTAATAACACAATGATGTATGTTGGTCGCCATGTACAAAAGTCATTATACATTAGTCAACGACAGCATTTTGAGATGTCCAGCAAATCGAATTCGAAACTTCGTACCGAGCACCATTGTATGTTGTTAAAACTAGCATCTTGCCTCTGTAGAAAATCGATTCTGTGATGATCACTCATAACAGGCACTCTAGTGCTCTGCAAGTTATCAGCATCAAGTTCTTGACTTTGCAAGGATAAAGCCCTCATTTCCCGCCAAGTTTCACCAGTGGATCCAACTCAAGAACTGCTTGTCGAACTGTTTTGTGAGCAGGCTTTACGATTCATAAAGGCCTCAGAGGCAGCCTGCTTGGCATAAGGCAATGTAGGATACAGCGGATAAGCCGGCCTGGATTTGAGTGTCTATTTACATGCTTCGTAACGAGTTATTAAACATTAAAATCTTGGCATCTTATTTGTATGGGCCCTTGATGAATCGTCTCTCCACAGGAGGAACTTTGGACATGTGTTGTTGCTCTTTGCCTTTATTGCCAATATGCAGTAAGTAACATCACAAGACCACTTCTTGATAAGGATCATGTAGACAGGGCTCAGTTTCCAAAGCCATCATGTCTGTGTCAAACAGAATGCCAGGATGAATTGAATAAGCCTCGAGAGAACAAAGGTTTCAAGTAGTCTCTACAAACAGCAACTACAAATGATCAGTCTCGAGGCTGAATCTCGGCTTCTGGACCCCTTCGTCTGGCCCATCCCTGGGAACACCGCTCAAGTTCCGAGTATGCAGCCCAATTTCGAACTCCATCTTGTCCGTATCCTTCTTCGTCCAGCCCTCAACCGGTATATGAGTCCTAACCTCCAAATGATTCTGGCAATTCTTGCACCCCGATACATGCCATCGACTCAACACAGCCTCTGTCCCAACCAGAACCTTTTCTCCGCTCTTCAACGTGGCCCAGGCGGAAACGACAAAGGACCCTCCAATGGCGGCGCGGTTGATTCCGCTGACGGTCAACACGGGACTCGGGCCATGAGGCTCGCCAACCCGCGTCGGCGGGTCAGGAAAGTCGTATGCGTAGCCCAGCTCGGCAATGTTGACAACATCCCTGGACGTCATTGCCTTGTCCGCGCCGTGAGGGTTCCTGAACGGGTCTAGGGGGCTGTCTAGGGTAAGCCAGGTGCCGCCAGCCACGCCGGGCGTCGGGCCCTGGTTGTCGACAGAGTTGGTGCCGGGGTAGCCCTGGATGATCTCGAGTGAATTCTCCTTGTTGTGTTTCTTCTGCCAGCGCCAGAACAAGAGGTCGATGAAGCAGTGGTGGAAGTAAAAGATTGGATCAAAGGCGGCCGTATCGTTCTCGCCCATGTCGCCGTTTGCGTCACCAATCTGGTCAAAGTTGTGCTTGGGGATGTCGAAACCACCCACCGCCAAGTGAATCAAGTTGTGTGGGGACTCGAGCGGTGTGGCGGATTTGAACCCAGTCTCCTGAAGGCCGTCATCGTTCCATTGCTGGGCGGAAGTAGTATTGGAGAAGACGGTGTAATTGGGGGCGTCGAGGCAGTGGTCAAACTTATCCTTGACACCGGCGTGAACCTTTTTACCGTCGCTGTTCCGGAAGGACGACTTGTTGAGCCATGTGGTGATGTTGTCATTAAGCATTTGGTTCGTCGCTGCGTCGCCTCTTTCCCGCAGCGAATTGTTGTGTACCCACGTCTTGTTCTTGTCTTTCTTCGTGCCTACAAGACCAGAGAAGGGGTAGCGGACAGTCTCATAGCCTTCGGGCTTGGTATAGTTGGCATCCGGGATGGGCTGGAGCCGGTCCGTGATTCTGGCCTGGAACGTGTACGAGAACAGTGGGTTGGGAAACTCCTCGAGAGTACCTTCGTACTTGTACGTTCTCTGCAAGAAGATGGAAGGGAGGCCGTGCTCTAGAGACTCCTGCTCCGTCTCATCCCAGTAGGGCAGAGCCACGCCGGGGACCTGGCTCTGGAGAGCTTTTTCGAGTCTCAGAAGGTAACCCCGATGCCAGGTCGGGAAGAGGACGTTGCCGTGGTTGCAATAGCCACCTCACCAAGCCGGGTTGGCGTATCCGGCGCCGCGGAACGGCTCGCCATGGTAGCCGGCGATGAAGAAGAAGGAACTGAGGTCATCCGGGGGAAGCTTTTGGATGCCGCGGAATGCCCTGACGAGGTCGTCCAGCTCCTTGGTGGAAAGGGTGCGGATGTTCTTTCTTGTGACTGTTCCTCCCATTTTGTGACTTGAGTAGATGATGTGATAGGAGAATGAGATGAAAAAGGTAAGAAAGAGGTTGAAATAGTGAAATTCTGATAGTTAAAGGAGTCTGCTACTTATATAGGCGAACCTGCAATCTCCATGTCCAAGCTACCTGTCTCCTCTACAGATGTTTTTGGCCATCCTCGTTCAACTCGCAGAACCCAAAATGCCCCCAGGATCCACGACGGATACTATTCGAATCAAATACTGGCTCTACGTTGGCTAAATGCCATAGTTGATGTTTCCCCGCATATTTGACGACGCATCTGGTCACCCGGCTCGGGTGGCTGGAAGCTGAAGCTCTGAGACAGAGAGCTGAGGAAATGTCTCACCGTTGAAATGATTCGACTGGACCGTTCTGACTGCTGCTTCGTTGAGTTCTCTCCAGCACTACTGGTGCAAGTCCTAGCGTGCCGAAAACGGCGTGTCAATTTGAGGATACTAGATGCTAAAGCTTCAGGGTCAACCTTGACTTCTTCCTTCCCAGGTGATAGGTGTTCGGAGATGGCGAGGCTAGATAGTTATCAACAAAATACAATCTCTCTTATATCAATAATCCAAACAGTACCGCGTGCAAGAGCAAATCAATCTGTCCGTTCGTTCGTGACCTAATATCGAAGACCCATCTTAGCTGCGAAACCCCTCCCCTCAAAGAAATGGCGCCGTAGTCATAATATGAACAAATGCAGTTTTCCCTTCCCCAAGCTACAACATCATGACAGGCCGTATCATCATCACTCAACTTTCAAGACCTTCCCACTGACAAATGGTTTCTAAATGAAGTCGGTGAATTACTACAAGGATATCGGATAGGTGTATTGCTCACTACCTTAAATGAAAGAGCGCTACATGACAAGGTTGGCCTCCTAGTACTTTCTCTCACTAATTACCTTCGTATCGTATCCTAATCATACTTTCCCTATTTTCTGCTACAGTGAGCCGTTTATAAGTCGAATAACTAAATTTCAAGTCTTTCACTGAGCACATGATGATTCATATCAAGCCCGAAACCCGCGAGGAGGTATTCCTTACATCCTCAGTTAACGAGAACACATTTTCCGTCGATCGAGTGGTTTCTGGCGTCAAGCGCGCATGATCCGATAAGAGTGACCGAGAAACAGACGTCATGCTTGCGCGCCGTGTAACACCAAGGGGGGTTGTAGAAGTTAAAGGTGACACCCCAGACATTGGCGTGAGTGCTCTATAAGCTGCTCTGGTAGCTAGTTTCATACGCCGCTTCTCTTCCCGCTTTACTTTGTCTACCTCCGAATGAAGTTTGATCACTTGAGCGTTGCTGGCGCCATCTCTTTTGGCTTGTGTTTCGACCTCTAGAATCTGCTCTGCATGTGCCGTTTGATCAATTAGCAATTTACTCTGCCGGATTCAAGACCAGGCTCAAACCTTTGGTAATCAGCTGTCTGATTTGAAGCACGGGCTCCGAGATTTGGTGGCGGGCAAGATCATTGAAAATCCACGTCTCGCCGAGAATAACATCGCAGGGTATATAGCTGGGGTCATGGACCAGGAAATCGTCGGTCTTGCTGAGGGCTTGATTCGTTGAGAGCCATGTGACTGAAACCCTACCAAGCGGCTTAAATGTGAGGGGATCTCTGCCTGCCCCGGTAAGTTCTCCTAGGTCTTCACGGGCTTCGAAAGATATACCAGCTTTTCTTAATACCTCGGAGCTGATCCAATTCCACCGGCTTCCCGTGTCCAACTTTACACGTGCCTGAACGTCTTCTGCAGCCGGAACAGGTATGACGAATGGAAGTGACATGGGGTCGTTCTTGAAAGCTTGCAGGCTTCCTAGTGTGATCTTGAGCACATCACGTATAGCCTCTATGCTTTTCGCTCTCTCTTGGATTGACGAGTCGGGGTTCATCTCATCCCATCTTTCAATTGCCTTTGCAAGTTCTTCTTCCTCATTCGCACCGACCTTGATCCTCTTCTCTATCAATTGTATGGTGTCCCACGCTGCCTTACTCCCCGCCGCTGTTTGACCGGATAGCTCGAAGACAGCATCTAGACGAGCCTCAATCCGACGCAACCTCAAGCTACAAAGCTACGTCAGCTAATATCTGCCGTCTCATGCATCCTAAGTCACTCACGTATGTTCTAAATTGCGAAGCAGTGGTGTCGTAGAGTCGAAGTCGTCCGCAAGCTTCATCAGGCGTTCAGCAGCAATTTTCAAGTCGAAATTGCCCTCTGTAAATGATCCCTTTTCCATCGCCGCCCTTGTCACACGTTCGACCTCAGGATAAACGTCAGAAATCTGGGACCCGATTCTGGATGTAAAACCATGGACAATGTTAGTGGCATGGTCAACGCCAGAATCCGTGAGAAACTGAGACATAAGCATTATGGAGTTCCGCGTTCTTTCCAAAGCCTCCAAATACCGTCTAATCTCTACAGTCCTCTCATAGCCGGTGACGCAGTTCATTGCAGTCTTTAAAAAGCTCGCAAAGCCCAGTAAGCTAGCCACCACGCTGAGTGCGTCTGACATCTCGATGCAAGTTGTGTCGTAATAGTGCCGGCGAGAAACCGTATCAATCAAGGGATGAACAGCGTAAAACCAGTCTCGGTCGCAAATTTTGCTCTTGTAGAACTCATTGATTGTGAAAAAAGGAGTCATCTGTAGGAAAATTGCGCACCCCGCATGGGAGGGTGATTTTCGATTGGATTGATCATCACATGATTCTTGAACCACGAGGCTGCAAGTTTGTGTAACATACATGCAGGATGAGATGCATCTCAATGTCACTTTATTGCGGGGTTGGGTCAGACTTGAAGCCCATCATCATTACCTATCTCCCACAAAGCATCATTCTGGAATATGTATCATGTAGGTAGGCAGGCTTGCGAAATTTCTTGTTAGCTCTCACGAGAATGCCATATTTCGCAAATTTGAGCAGCTGAACATTATGACCCTACTCCGACTTCAGGCTGAGCTTCAGGCCATGGAACAAGAACTCGAAGAGATCCGGCAAGAGGACCGAGAGTCGGGTGATCTAGAACGGAGCTCATATAATTCCAATTTTCGCTCTATGAGAGACAACGCTATAGGTGGAGATTCAGAACAGCTGGAATTGCTGGAGAAAATTGGGCGAACACTCAATGATTATAGTACGCGCGGCAAACTTTTGTTACTTGACTCTCCGCGTTACTGACCTTTGACACTCAACTTTGAGACCAAGCTTTGCGGAATGCTACATTCTTGCACCAAGCCTCTCCGCCCCTTGACATTGACGTCAAAAGTCTTATGCTCTGGCTCGGAAGAGAGAATGTGGGCCAGGGAGACAGATTTCTGAGCCAGGCCGGAATTGAAGGCACTGTATAGGACGAAGAACATCGAGGGGACTTGCTCACTATCGGAGGACCGTCAACAGAGTCAGACAGACTCAGCAGGTTCATCGACGATAGAGCCTTGAGCTTCTATCACTCTACTATCGGATATCGTCGCAAGGTATCTTCTAGTGATTCTGAAAACCGGAATAGCTTGAGCTGACGATGCTTTAGGCCGCGAACAAAGTTGAGGATGCCAAAATCCGGCCTTATGACGGAAGAAAGGTTCAAAGAGCCGGCGATATTGTTGTGGGTGTCTTATCGGCTGCCTTTCCCACAGTCGCGATCCTAGTCCTGTACTTCGTGCAGAACATGATACACCGTATCGGTCTTGTTATTGTCTTTCTATCTTTTCCGTGGTCTTCGCCATGGTGACGGGGGCAAAGAAAGCGGAAGTCTTCGCTGCAACAGCAGCCTTCGCAGCTGTTGAAGTTGTATACATCGGCAGTGTGGCCCCGGGGGATCCGGGGTGTGTTTGTTCCCCGGATCAAGCATAGGGAGGCTGCGCGCAACAGATGTAAGGGCTGAATTTGCGGGGTGGATATCTGTATTCGAGTGCTCAACCATCCAAGGCTTGCGTTCCCATGAAGCCCTCATGTCTCTGGCGGGCACTTTCTTGACAAATAAATCCAATGCTTGCAGTGAAGGAGTGATTCCATGTTTGACACCGGTTGCAAATAATGAGTATATCAAGCCATTTATAGTTATATTGCAAAGCCTTTATATCAAAATATTCTCCTCAACCTCTTCAACCCTTGAACCGTCAACCGCCTTCTTCCTCAGCCGCTCCAAACCTTTGAGCCCTCACCGCACCGCAAATGAAACCCGCTTAAAAGCATCCGCAAACACCTCATCACCATCATCCCCCCTTCCACCGACCCTCCAAGCAATAAACCCATCAGGCCTCACCAACACAGCTCCCTCCCTCCCAACCCCAAACGTTTCCTCAAAGCTCTCGCCAACCCTCTCATCAACCTCCACGACCTCCTCTCCAATGTGAACAAACTCACACCCAGCACCAACAGCAGCAGCAGTCTCCCATCCCCCATCCCTCGAGAGCAAAACCCACCCACGCCCAAACAACGCCAGACTCGAAATCTCCCTCCCATCCCTCTTCCTCACCACCAAGTGAGGCGCCCTCGTCCCAGGCTGCCCCCTCCACTCATCAGGCCTCAACGCATCAGGCAATACCTCCCCCGTTCCCAACTCCACCCCCCTTGACCGATAAATCTGCCCCAGCTCCATAGCAACATCATCAATCACCTCAACCCCTTTCCCTTCCCCTCCCTCCCCATCCTCACCCCGGACATACGCCTTATAATCATCCCTCGCAAAGAGCTGATCATGCCTAACCAGCGCAACAGGCCTTCTCTCCTCATCATACGTCCCCAAAATCCCCTCGTCCGCCAACCCCCCGCGCACGGCAGCAATCTTCCATGCCAAATTATGCGCGTCCGCGAACCCCGTGTTGGCGCCGTACCCGCCCCGGTTAGGCGGCAACGTATGCGCCGCGTCCCCCGCAAGAAATATCCTCCCCGCCGAAAACCTCTCCGCGATCCGCGCGCTCATCTCCCAGAACCCAATCGTCACGAGCTCGATATCCCCGTCCTGGATCTCGTCCTCGCCGAGACCGAGGGCTTTGCGGATGAGGTCCTTTTGTGCGCGGGCGTCCATCTTGCCGCTGTTGCCGTTGCTGACATTGATTGTATCGTCGCCGTCGTTCGTGCCGGTGACGGTCTCCTCGGCGGCATTCCACATCAACGCCCACCTCCCATCATGATAACTCACCAAAAACGCCTCGAACCCGTCCTCGCGCCCCTCGATCGAGAATTGCACGAACCCCCGCTCCAAAAACCTCTCAATCGGCGCACAGCGGAACATGACGCTGCATAAACTCCGCAAATGGCCCACGCCCGTCGTCCCGATCCCCAGACCCTCGCGAAAGACGCTCTTCGCGCCGTCGCAGGCGACGATGTACGACCCATTGACGGTAACTTCCTCCCCTGATTTTCTGTGGACAGCCGTGATGCGTACGCCGTCCGTGGATTGGCTCCAAGAGGTCATCTTCCACCCGAGTCTGAGATCCGCGCCCAACTCGACGGCGCGTTTGCGGAGAATGGGTTCAAGCCTGTCCTGGGCTATCGCCGTGCCCATGATGGGAGCGTAGACTTTACCACCTTTCTGCGGTGGAGGGCCAGCGGGACCAGAACCAGGTCTCTTGGACCCATTCTCGCCCTTTGGACCACCGTTCTCCATCTTGGTATTATTATTCCAGAGCTGCTCATCAGCCCACTCCCCCGCCAGACTCTTCACCTTCACCCGACGAGGCTTTCCGCCAGGTGGACCGGAACCGACTCTTAGCTGATTGGGGGAGATGCCAACAGTCTGCAGGAGTTCCAGCGTGCGCGACGTGTATCCGATGGCGCGCGGATGCGGAGAGCTAGAAGTGTGGCGCTCGAATAGGATGACGGGGACGTCGCGAGCGGAGAGGAAGAGCGCGCTGGCGAGGCCTACTAGGCTGCCGCCTATGATTATTACGGGTGCTTGGTTTTGTGTCGCCATGGTGTACGGTTTTGATGTTGGTGGTTTGCTTGGTTGGTACCGTATGGTTGAAGTGGTGAGACGTGTAAGTCAACAAAGGATTCAAGAAGAAAAAAGAGTGAGCCTTAGGACTGAAGGTGAGATTGGATGAAGAATGATATAGTTCGCACGTCCTTCCAAACATGTCGCAGATGCATGATGAGGCCTTTATACATTTGCAATCCCGTAGTCGTGACGGCGTCGACGGCGGTGGTTTGCAAGCCCCGCGCTTGCCCGGCTCCGGTGGTCCTGGCGTGGCCGGATACGTAGCCACCGCCCCATACCGGTCATCTCGGGTACGAAGGTGGCGTTCGGTCCCGAGTGTCCGTCGCTAGTTTTCACCGTCCGCACGAAAACCACGAAGCAGTCGGGACCGCTAAATTCCCTACGGGCTTTCAGATCCCGCGATTACGGCATGTGTTCTTGTCGGACACATCACAGGGTCAGTGTAATTGCCGAATTTCTTAAATTGTTTGCTCGTTGCATGCCTTGAAGCCTACCGACTTAATTACGCCATAGATTATGTCCTACATCGACCCCATGTTTGCTTACAAAATCATGCCTCCAACGGACCAATGGTGTTTATGTCAAGACCCTTGGCCAACTCCGATTTCGAAGGCATTTTTCCGAGCGACATCAACTCTGCCGACTGCACCATGGCAGGGTCCTTGCCCATGGAGGCCATGGCCACGACGGTCTCGCCATTCGTGTAGTACGCGACAAATGCCGACTCTTCTACGTTGCCCTGGAGCACAACATCGTCCCATCCGCCGACGGTGTTACCACAGTATCTCAACTGTGAGCCCAGTGCGGACCAGAACACGGGGATGAAGTGCGGCGTCTTGACGGCTGAGTTGATAATGTTGTTTGCAACGGAGCGACCGGCGTTCTGAGCGACATTCCAGTGCTCAATGCGAGTGTACCGGCCGTCGCCTCCAGGACCGTGGTAGGGGTATGTCGCAATATCACCAATGGCGTACACGTCCTTGAGGCCAACAATCTCAAAATTCTCGTTGGTCTTGATGGAGCCATCGTCCTCCAATCTGATGACCTTGTTCTCTCTTAGGAACTCCGTAGCGGGGGCGACACCAACACCAAGAATGACCAGGTCGGCCTCGAGTTTGGTGCCATCCTTGAGGTATACCGCGCCGACATTGGCAGAGTCCGTGGCTGACGGCTCTGCCTTGTCAACGCCAGCGTTCATGTGGAACTTGACGCCATTCTTTTCCAGGCTCTTCTGGATGCCCGCGCCAACCTTCTCTCCGAGAACCCTCTCCAGAGGAACCTTTTCCATACCGATGACGGTGACTGTGTTCTCCTTGGCAGTGGCGTTGGCAACCTCCATACCGATGAAGGAGGATCCGACAATGACAATCTTCTTGCCCTTGTCGCCAATGGCCTTGACAATCTTCTGGGTGTCGTGAGCGGTTCTGAGGGTGAAAATGTTGCCTAGTACCTTGAAGCCCTGGAGTGGCAAGTTTCTGGGCGTACCGCCAGTGGCCAGAATTAGCTTGGTGTAGGGGATGCTGTCACCCTTCTTAGTAGTGACCTTGCGATCAGAAAAGTCAACGTCGGTGACCTCGTCGGCGACCCAGTCGACTGAGCCGCTCTTGTACCAGGCCTCATCGCGCCATTGCAGGGCGTTGACGTCGGTGAGAAGAGCTTTGGACAGCTTTGTGCGGTCAATGGGGAAGTATCCTTCAGAGGAGATGATGGTCAAAGGACCGTCGTAGCCGCCGTTGCGCAGACCCTCCACAGCTCCGAGAGCACCGGAACCTCCGCCAACAATGACTACCTTGTCCTGATCAGCACCACCAGCGGCATTGCACTTGAAGTTGGGCTTGCGGCGACCGCCCTTGATGGCGGCCTCTTCTCCAGAAATGTAGACTGCGCCGTCGCGCTCGGTGACTTTGAAGACGGGAAGGGCGTCGAGAGCAGGGGCGTCTTCGACGTCACCAGTTTTGGCATTGAAACAGGCTGCATGTATGTGTCAGTGAGTTGTCATAGAGCCAAAGATGGGGGAAGAGAGGGTAGATACCTCCGTGCCAGGGACATGTCAAGCGACCAGAGGTGGTCAAGACTCCCTTTACGAGTGGTGCGCCAAAGTGGGTGCATTTGGGGCCAACAGCCTGGATACTGCCTCCAGCGTTGACGAGGAGGACCTTTGCGCCCTCGATTCCCTCTACTTCGACCTCCTGCTTGTCTCCCGGCTTGAGAGACAGCGAAGAGACGGACTTGAGCTTGTAGTCGGCCATGGCTCGTACGCTATGCGAAAATTGGTTCTTTTGTGTTGTTTGTCGGAGTAGAGAGGATACTCTTACTTGGTGGCGGAGGAGGGGAAAGAATTTGGTGGTTTGCATGAAGGATGGAGGGGGAGGGGGCAGGAGTAGATGGGCAGGCGAAAGAGAGGGGAAGACGTTACGGTGACCGTCGAGGGGTACTCCGAGTGACAGCTGCTGATGTAAAGTACCGGGACGAGGGGTGGGAGGGGGTCAGATAACAAAGCACACGAGGCCAAGACTACCTAGGTGTTCCTAGACGCAGTCGTAGCAGCTACTCTAGCTACGGAATAGACAGATCTGGATGGCTAATGGAAGGTGAAAGCTTCCGGCGGTGACAAGTAGACTGAGACGTTGCGGTAAGTATTCTGCAGCTGGGGTAAGGTGGGATGAGGCAAGACGTGATGGAAGGCGGTCTGCTGAGAGATGGGGGAAAGACGATGGAGATTCGCGTCTTCAGATTGGTGACATTGACGTTGACTCGTTTGTGACCGGGGATTGGTTGGTAGAGGGGCTCAATAGGCGGCACGGGGGGCAGTATTTCTGTGTTTGTAACGTCGGGCGAGGGAGTTGTGAGGAATTTAGAGCATCATCATTCATGCGCTGTGCGTGAGGGAAGCTCTCAATGGCTGCAGATAAACACCGGATGGTCAGAAAGACGGGTACAGGTGCAAAAAGGTACGAGCAAGTGTTGCTCGATGAAAAAAGGAACGCAACTTTCCTCCCCAAATTTGGACGATTCAATGATGACGCCATGATAGTGAACTCGTTCCTCCACAGGGAAGCATCTCCCGGGATTAGCGGCGGCAACCACCTTCCCCAAGATGAGGTGCTACCATTCCTTCCTTCCAGTGCAATTCCTCAGTTGTACTCCGTACCTTCGCTTCGATGGTGGCAGGTGCTCGAGCTCACTCCTGGTCGTCATTACTCATTACCCACTACGGCCCCACCACATCCCGTCATCCCTGCCAGCTTGCAAATTGTTCTCTCCTCACTGGCTAGAAGCTTCAAGCTCGGATCACCGAGACTCTCCCAAATGAGTCTAGCCTCAAATCTAGCCCTGGGTTCCACAATAATCCCACCAAAGTGCCCCACGATTCGGCCCACCGTCCGAAGACGCCAATCGCCCAAGCTCCCGTCCAAGGGAGCACACGCCGAAGTTCAACACCAATGATTTCTGTTGGATCATCACCAAGTCGAGCAAGCAGACCATCATGACTATTGCATTCATTTTCTCTATTGAGTCCTATGCCCCTTTTATCCAAAAGCCGCATGACAGCTATGACAAGCCACTCCCACTAGACATCGTGGGCACCTCAAACTCCTCATCAATCCACCAACGCCGGTGAAATATCACTTCCAGCCTCAATAATGACTATGCCCAACCGTCGCAGCTGCACGACCCAAGTGCCCCTCGAAGCCCTCCAGCGTATCTGCCGTCTCTGAATCCACCGTCACCGGTGACTCTTCCATGACAACTCCAGGAAAAGGCCCTGTAAAGTCCGCCATGCTTGCGCCCCCAAAGAAACTCACATCCTCTTCGAATTGCATCCCAAACGGCAGCGTACTGTCCATGGCCTCCGCCACCGCAGCCGCAGCCGCTTGCTCTTCTCTCTTCCGCGCCACCTTGTCCACCGTCGCCATGGCCCGTCGGTGTAGCTCCCTGACCACCTCATGCAACTTGCGAAAGTCTTCATTTGCCGATATGCGCAGCATCATATCAAACATCTGAATCGCCTGTTCCGCGAGCTCTTTGTCTGTCGGTATATGCTGGTGCTCTGGGAACACAAACATGTTGGATAGAATAATGATGAGTCCCGAAAAGTGCGCACACGCGTTGGACCAGATGCTGCAGTCTGTCTTGGGCGATTCCACAAACAGATTCATGCAGTCCCGGCTAAGCTCCACGCACTTTGCCCACCCCGTCGGCAATGGTGCGTTCTGCCGGCTATGCGGTTGTCCCACTCCATCCAGGTCTTGTATCGCCGCCCGGCCATACGAACTGATTCTTTGCACCCAGTCCGCGTCGTGCGAGTAGATGCCGTGGACCATGACGGTAATCACAAAGAAGTTGTGATACAGAAGCGAAAGGTGTACCGCCGGGAGCGGCTCGGCGTACTCGAGCAGCGATGCGAGCTGAAACTCCGCAGGCACGTTGCGGCGCCACGTCTCGAGCATCTCCTCCAGCCGCGTCACTCGCAGCTGCGCTTCCGACTTTGCCACCTTGCGCGACCTAGTGCTGTACAGGAGGTCGTACACCTTACCCGCGATATGACTGAGCTCGACCCTCGCCCGGAAGAAGTTGAACTTGCTGCCATTGGACGCAGCCATGACGCCGGCCCCGTCGTCCGGGTCCAGCTCCGGCAGCGGCAGGTCGATATCTGCATCCAGCTGGAACGAAGGTGTTTTTGACCTCAAACTGATGTCCTTGTCCATGCAGTATGTAATCCAAAAGAGCCGTGACCTCTGCCGGGCAACCGCGGCCGGGAAGTACTGCAGGGACTCCTTGTCGTGGAGGTGCAGCCGATGCGCCAGCCGGATAGCCGTCCCGATGAGAACCGAAGCTGGCTTGGGGTCTTTTGTCCCTTGAAAGAGAACGACCATGCCCACGAGGACCTGGATTCCTAACAGATCCTCCTCGCGTGTCACCAAGTCGGACACAACAGACTGCACGTTGCGCATGTGGTGCAGCACCTTCTGATCGTCCACTAGGGCATCCAGATTTCCAGACTGCTTCAACGTGCAGCGGTACCCTAATGCCAAGGCGATGTTAATGGCTGCCCATGCGGCGGACGAGTGATATGAAGATGGCGAATACCAGTCGGAGAGCATTCGCATAAAGGTCGGCTGGTCGAAGAGCGGCATAATGGAGTTGTACCGGTTGAAGAACTCGTCAATAACGGGCATGATTTCCTCCAGCGGCGGCAGTTTTGGTTTCTCCGTCTCGACCACCCACTCGCTCAGGCTTTCGCTACACGAAAAGGCATTGATGAACTCGGTGCTGTCGGTTGAGTGGCCGGCATTGTCCAGGGGCAACTCGATGGTTTCTGTGATCGGTGCGGACTGGACTGGTGCTGGTGCTGGTACTGGTGCCGAGGCCGGAACTTGGCTGGAAAGGCGAATATTCGCATCCAGTGCGCGCTGCAGCTGCTCTTCAATCTTTGCCAGGCGGCTCTCCAACTCCACCACTCTTTTCGGGCTACGAGAAGCATCGTCAGCTGGTGGTTCCCACTAGTTGAGGATTTTAGCATCAACATACTCTCCCGCGGTGGTTTCTTTTGGCCGTTGTTGGCGCTCTTTCGTCGGTACTACTCTGCGGCGGACTGTGGTGGTGCGGCACTCGGACTTATACAGTAGGCAATTTGAGCAGGCCGGCTTGAGCATGTCGCACTTGATCTTCTTGAGGAAGCACAAGTCACAGGCTATGAGCGTATTAGTCACGGTTTGTTGAGAATGGTGGAGTGGCGTATTGTACCCTTGCGGCGTTGTGATGAAGTCTCCATTGTGAAGTCGTCGTTGGGGGTTTGCCGTCTTCAACTCCGCCAGACAAAGTGGAAATCCCAGACAGTCGAGGTGGATGAGTTGGATATTTCAACCATTTGAAGACCCGAGTCGTGGTTCGTCGTCCCAATTAAGGGAGTGAGGCAGGGGTCCCGCGTCTGTTTTGGTGGTGCGCAGGAGTAGCGCAAGGATTGCATCGCTGGGCCAAGATTACAAATCCAGAGCTGACGGATATGCTTTAGTGGCACCCGTCAAGCCACAATCAGCTCGAACTCTTTTGGGTCGTTTGATTCGGCGATCGAATCCTTCTCGGACTCACGAGTAATTGTTGATTAGTTCTTGGATCTTTCTTTTAGTGTCTTTTACAGTCTCACTGCAGGCGTACTTTCTATGCGTTTGACTAAGGCTGTGGGATCGTCCAAGTTGGCCTTGTACTCACCGGGTTTCGGCATGTACTACAGCGACTCACCGAACCTCACCGAAGGACAGCACGAGACTCACTTACACGACACTCGGTGAACAAAGAAATCAGACAAAGTTTCAACCAAGACTATTCCGTGTATAACTCTCGAAATCTAACATCCAAAGTCAATTGACGAGGTTCAAGTAAAAGCAGAATCTAAAAACCAAAAGCAAGTCTAAATCTAGCAACACCAAGATAATGACCGTCTACAGGTCGAAACACCAGACAGCTACGCCTTGGAAGTCTCCCCATAAGGCACAGTCTCGCCAGAAAACTTGACGGCGCCGTAATGCTCCAACTTGTCGCCGTCAGCGACCAAGTCCCCATACCAAGCCTGCATATCCTGCACAAACCTCCCCACCGAACCCTCATCACTGGCGTCAAACGGCTCCTCGCCCCGTCCAACCTGATGAATATGCGCACCCGCCGCCGTCAACCCCATCCCAATATCCTTCTCAATCATCTCAACAGGCTTCACGGCGCCCTGTACCTTCCCGGAAATCAACTCCGACGCAAACCGGAACTCCTGCGCGCCGGGACGCCCCAGCCCGACACCATCAACAACCTCCAACGCCTCCACCATCGCGCCTACAGTCCTCATCCCACCGACGATATACGCCTTCGTCTTGCGCGCCGCAGCATCCTCACCCAGTCCCTTGACAACCGTATCCGCAAACTCCAAGAAAAACCCCTCTCGCTTGCGCGTACTCTCCTTCTCCCAATTCATCCCCATAGCCTCATACGTACCCCCCGAAATCTCCAAAAAGTCAAACCCCAGCCCAGAGAGCAGCGCACTCATCTCCCTCGCCTCATCAGACGTCACCCCGCCCTCCTGAAACTCGACGCTGTTGATCTTGGCAGACAAGATGAACCCAGCCGACGTCCGCTGCTTCACGGCCTTGCCAATCTCGGCAATCAACCGGGTGCGGTTCTCGAGCGTCTGCGGGCCGTACTCGTCGGTGCGGCGGTTCGTCGTGCGCGAGAGGAACTGTGCGATGAGGTAGCCGTGCGCGGCGTGCAGCTGGATGCCGTCGAAGCCTGCTTTTTCGAGGTAAGTTGCCGCGTGGGCGAAGCCGTCGATGAAGCGGGCGATGTCTTGTTTGGTGGCTTCGCGGGGCGGTGCGAATTCCATGCCCATTTTTGGTTCTGTTTTGCGGTTAGTATGAAGCACCAGGTATAAAAAGTGCATCAGGAGTGAAAAGGAGAAGACGAACCCAAGGGAACAGCGGACGCGGAGACGGGGTTCGGCTGGATCTTCTTCTGCACCTGGCGCCCGCCGTGGTTGACCTGTCCGATCATGAGGCTGCCGTCGGCTTTGCCAGCGGCGGCGATAGCTTTGAAGCCCTCGAAGCGGGCGTCGCCTTCGGTGGGGGCGCATTCGGGGGTGATGATCATGTCGCCAGGGGTGCTCACGTGCTCGAAGTCGATTGTGATGTTGCCCGTGGAGATGATGCCAAAGTTGTCTGGTCCTTGGCCCCATCTAGGAATATTGGGTTAGTAAGGTTGGCTCTTCAAGTAAAGACAAAGAGGTGAGATGGGTGGAGGACGCACCGGCGGTAGACTTCGACGAGCTCGGTCGTGGGGATACCGCGCTTCGAGGGCTCTGTAGGGCTCCAAGTTGCGAGGGACTCGGCCATGGCGCTCTTGAGGAGGCGGTTCTTGGCCGTCTTGCCGGAGAAGGGGAAGGTCAGGGGCCGGGCCAGGGGTTCCGGGCTGGCGGGGGAGCTTTCGTAGCGGGTAGGCATGTTTGCGGTTATGTAGGTGACTTGAGGTTTATAGAGGTGTGGTTATTAGTGTAAGGAGACTGTGAAGATGATGTGATGCTGTGATACTGTGATGCTGATGCTAATGATGTTTGACGATTCGAAGAGTCCGAGAAGCTCACTTATAAGGACACCTCGAGTTTCCACGGCACAAAGCCCGTACGGCGCTATGGTATCGACACGAGGCCCGCGGAGTCGAGTGCATTGCCGATGGCGCAATTTGGCAGTATCACGGCGGCTGCCGTGGTCCGGCGCAATAGCGGGGCGCTCCACGGAAGAGTTGTCCGTGGGTCGCCATGCTCCCCGGCGGATACAGTAGCAGATGCTGGGGGACTCCAGCCGCATGCAACTCTACGCAAACTTCACTGCCAGCGGTTTTCTGCGAATTTGACATAAGTATCTCCTAAATCTCCGACTCTTCAGATGCTTAGAGATGAATTGCTTGTCTCTTTTAGACTTCAACAATACCGCTCTGTTCAAACATCATTGATTTCCAACTCGCATCCTTCTTTTCCTAGGTGCTCATGCTGAGGTTCAGGCTTGACTTGAATACTAATCAACAATTCAAGACTTTGTTACATCTTGAACCTTAACATTAGCTAGACAATGCACTAAGGTGCTTATTGCCGCGCGGTTGCACCACGAGACCGAGACCACGGAGGTGCGTGTAAGTGGTCATTTTCTCGGTAAGCCTCGGTCAGTCTCGGTGTGAGATCCGCGGAATTCCGTGGAGCTCTCCAGCCACCGTGGCGGCCATGGCACTCCGTGGAGTTCCACGGAGAAAAACGCCAAGGATCTGGATTAATAATGCTCATTTCCCTCATCTTGACCAAGATCGCTTATCCGGACGTTGATGGTCATACACGCACTAGCTCCGTCAGGACTTGTGGGACCTGTCAGCTTGAAGTGCCGGTATCAAGCTTTAACATGAAGTCGTGATTCTATGGTTATTGATTGACAATCACAACCCACGAGGCGATGCACAGCCGCTATGACACGCCGCTACGAACATGGACAGTCTTCCTGTCAGCACTTGATTTAACCCAAAGGCAAGATGTAATCGAAAAAATAGTAATCAATAAAAGCGACTGCGGTAAGAATCTACTCGTACATGCATTCGCACCTTCACTTGCACCGCAAAACACAAGCCTCTTACAACTCATCCTTGGCCGCATCAGACGGCTTCGTCTTCTCGTCGGCCACCTTTGCCTCCTCAGCAGCCTCAGCCTCCGACGCTCCCTCCTTGGTCTTGAGAACCTGAGCCTTGACGGTGAACTCAATGTCCCTCTTGTCATTGGCAGTATCGGGACGGGTGTGGCTGACGGGCCACGCCACGACGGCGGCATCCTTGGGCACGGCCTGGTAACTGCCCAGATCGGCGAGCGTCGCTGCGATGATGTTAGCCAGTCTCTCTTAATAATGCATTTGTACAAAGGAAAGGGAAGCAATGAGTCCAACTCACCCTCACAATCGCTACCGTCAGCAACAAACAGAGGAAGCACAGGATACAACGCCCCCGGCGCAAAAATAGCAACCCTCCCCCCATCAAGCTCACGATCAACCTCGTCAGCAATCTCAACCCGCTCCGTAACCTTGTCCCCCTCCCCAGCAGGCTTCTCAAACACAGCAAACAGCCCCTTGCCGGTACCGTCAGCCCGCTCCTCCTCCTCAATCCACTCCCGCACGCGCACCGGCACATCAGCGTACTCCATCATGAGAACATTACGATCATACATGTGGCGGTCGAGGCCGGCCCAGCCGCCGGGGTACTCGCGGCCCGAGAAAAAGGTCTTGAGCCCATCACCCCAGGGGAAGAGGCCCGTCGGCGGTTTGTCAAAGAGATCGTGGAGGGTGTACTGCGTCGCGGAAAAGGTCTTTGACGAGGAGCAGGTCGGGGTGTAGGCGTCTGTTGTTGCGGAGGTGAAGGGGTCGCGCCAGGGAAAGTTGTCTGCCATTGTGGTTTTTGCTTGGGGCATGGGGGGTTTGCCGACCTGGAAGGCCGAGGTGGCGGTCGCGAGGAGGGTGGCGGCGAGGGGAAGAGATGTGGACTTCATTGTGGTCGTTGGTTCGTGTGATTTTGCTTAAAGTTGAGGTGGTTTCTCGTGAGGGTGATGCCCCGATGAGTGATGAAGAATGCGATGAGAGACTGACACAGGAACATGAACAAGAAACAGTGTGTATTTGCTTCACTCATCTCTCGATTAACTCTGCCCGGCCCTCCTCATATAAACAGACTTCCATGTGGCCAGATTGACAGCTCCAACGACGTTGTTGTCCTTTGCGGACGCAGCATGCTCCGGATTGCCATATTGAGTCGCAGGTTCCTGATGCCAATGTGGGATTCAATGCGGCCGAGCAACGAGTTCCTCCGTCTGGTCCTCCATCCGTACCTTTACCCCAAGTTTCTTAAGGCAGAGAGGCCCCGGTTCGACTCCACTTTCCCCTCATTGCCGGCTCGACGGGAGCGAGCACCTTAATCCTTGTGCCGCCGTTGCGTCTTTATTTCTGCTCTTCAACTCACGTGTCAACCAGTCTACTTACCTAAGTTCATGCTGAGGTAACAATAACAGGCCATTGGAAGCCCAGCTGGTGCCATCTGGTTGTACTGATCACATCGCGACTTGAGATGAGCTAGCCGATCTCCGAGTGGTGACGTCTGTCTTAGTTCAACGCTCACCCCACCTCAGTCTCGCCATGTTAGGCTCAATAGTCAAACTGAGCGTTGTCTCCCATTCTTGCGTTGATGCAAGAGAGAACCTTGATGACCTTGAACTCGAGATAAAGGCACTCAGTTTCCCGTTCACTTCATCTCATGCAAGACCAAAACCAATCTCATCCAATCTCATCCAATCTCTAACCCTTCAGCCGCTTGTCCTCCACACATGCGATGAACACACGAAATGCTCTTCAAATGAGGTCAGCTTGGCCCTCACCTGGCAGACTTACATCACGCCAGAAAAAGACCCCGCCAATACCCACCCAGACAGGAACCCAGACCTTTTCTCGATTCACTGCCGAGCTTACTCAAGCCTGACAAGCACTCTCACGACCTCACCTGACGTCGTCTATTCTATAACCGACTTCCAGTACCAAACTTCCCACTCTCTAAGGTCCGAACGCGAAGCCGACGAACCATGGAACATGGCGAGTCTCCAGTCGTGAGCAGGGGTGCAACGAGGGGGCAACATCGAATTTTCCCCGAGCAATCGCAAATCTTGCAAATGCCGTCCCGTTTCCAAACCGTCCACAACATCCTCTTTCGGATAAGCATGTCTTTTTTCAGCCTCGTTCCACCCCTTGCCTACTCCTTATTTCATCCTTACAAACGGCCTAGAAAGGGCATACCATGTGGCATGCACATCCGCTTCGAGCCGGATCGCCCCTCTCATTGGCTCTAGGAAACAAAGCTCCGCTGCTCCCATGCCGTGTCTCTCTGGAGACTCTGGGATCCATGACGTCGCGTCTCCGTCGAAAATGACGCTGCCGCGCCGTCATGAACTTGAGTCTTTTGCTCAGCCAGTGTCGCATCGCGCTCATTCGACTGGTTCGTTTGAGGCTTCTGGACCTGGACGGACCGTTGACTGCTTAGCTATGCGATGAACGTGTTCTCTTTGTGATTTCCTATAAGGACCAGTGATCCCAATGACTTGACAAATGAAGTCCAAATAACTCGTAAACTCAAGACCTTGACACTCTTCTCCAAAACCAAGAATTCATATCAGTAATCACACTTGAAAATGGCGTCACAAGCAGCATACGCAGCCGAAAAGGCCATTGGCCACCAAGGCGACGCCATCACTGCCCAAGATGTAACCGAATACAGCGGGGATAAAGGCGATGACAGCGAGCTCATGAAGGCACTCGTCTGGCAAGGCAAGAACAAGGTCGAAGTCGGTGAGTGATGAACAGCCAGTGTTCCCCTTATGGTGATATATCCTAACCCTCCACAGTCACCGTACCAAAGCCCAAGATCCTCGAGGCCACCGATGTCATCCTCAAGGTCACCGGCAGCACGCTCTGCGGCAGCGACCTCCATCTCCTCCACGGTTCCGTCGTCCAGATGAACAAGGGCGACATCCTCGGCCACGAGTTCTGCGGTGTCGTCGACGAAGTCGGATCCGCCGTCACCAAAGCAAAGGTTGGCAAGCGCTACGTTGCCTCGTTCCAAATCGCATGCGGAAGCGTGAGTCCCCCCCCTTTTATAACATGACCCAAATATCATCATGATTTAACACCACGCAGTGCTTCTACTGCAAGCAAAAGCTCTCCTCCCAGTGCGAGCGTACCAACTCCAACACAATGGAGAAATCCATGTACGGCTCCCAAACGGCCGGCATGTTCGGCTACTCCCACTTCACGGGCGGCTTCGCCGGCGGACAGGCAGAGTACGTCCGCGTGCCCCTCGGCGACGTAAACCTCCTCGCCATCCCGGACAACGTCCCGGACGAAAAGGCCCTCTACCTCTCCGACGTCCTCGCCACCTCCTACAACTGCGTCAAAGACACGGCCGTCTACCCAAACGACCAAGTCGCCATCTGGGGCGCGGGCCCCATTGGCCAAATGGCAGGCGCCTTCGCCCTCGACGAGGGCGCCTCCAAGGTCATATTTGTCGATACCGAGCCGCGGCTGTCCTACATCAAGTCCAAGTGGCCCGCCGCGCACGCCGACAAGCTCGCGCTCATCGACTACAAGACGCTCTCGCACGGTGTCACCAACAAGGAGACGGTCGTCTCGCGGCTGAAGGAGCTCTGCGGTGGCCGCGGGCCTGACGCCGCGCTGGAGTGTGCTGCGGGAGAGTACCCCAAGGGCTGGCTTCACACGGTCGAGATTGCGCTCGGCGCCGAGACGGACACGAGCGAGATCGTCAACGAGATGATTGAGGGTGTGCGGAACTTTGGGAGGGCGGGCATCACGGGCGTGTATGTCGGGTACACGAACCACTTCAACATTGGGTCGCTGATGGAGCGCGGGGTGCGGCTTATTGGGAATGGGCAGGCGCCTGTTCATCTCTACTGGGAGGATTTGTTGAAGAAGATCCAGGAGGGCAAGATTGATGTGTACCAGATGCTTTCGCACCGCATCCGTCTTGATGATTTGGATAAGGTGTACTACAAGTTTGAGAAGCATGAGGATGGGATTCAGAAGATTTTTGTTGAGACGAAGTTTTCGTTTCCCAGGGCGGAGGGGTCCCCTGAGTTGACGACGTACTAAGTCTAGAGGGTTTGATGGATGGTTTGAGTTAGAAGTACGAGCGACGTAGTTGTAATGAGACATGATGCATGTTGCACTCTCGTTTGATTTATTAAAGTAGGAAACCAGACTATACTTGGTCTGAGCCGCTGTCGCTAGTCAGTGGTGACACACTCATTGACGATGGCATTCTCATGCAGAAGTCAATGAGATGGGTTGAGCATTGGGTTCAAGTCTTTTAACGGGAAGAGTCAACAGCTCCAACAAATCCTGCTATGCTAGGAATAGGTTTCTTGTTCATGTCAAGCTCGCCATGCTGGGCGCAGGGTCCTTTGGAAGAGGGTGGTAGGGGTGATCTGGACAAAATCAAGACGTCTTGATCGAGGCTAACTACGCCAACCGTCTCGACGCGAACTATCCAACGTCTTACCACTCGATGGATACCGGCGACGATGCACTGCTCGGGCAGCCTCAGCCGCTGAACAAGATTCTCCAAGGTTGGGAGACACACCATGTTGTAGAGACAGTAACGCAATGAGAATCGGCGTAACATCCATCGACTTGTGATTCGTATCACATCACATGGCTTGCTACGTGTATGCATTGTCCAGACTTGACGCAAGTAACCAAAAGCTGCAATGAAACTCATCTATTGTCGTATTCGACACATTCAAAAAGACATAAGAACGGGCTCTCTACCCCTTCAACAGCCTACGTAAACTACCCTCCCCATACCACAACGAAGGTTCAAACCATCAAACCATCGACCGGCCTCGTCGTCAACTCCCACATCTCTCTACTGACCCAATCCACGCAAGTTCCCCTCCTTAATCTCATCAACAGTATCCCTCGACTCAACAGAGACCCTAGAAGCCATTTCCACCTGCTGCTTCCCACTAGACCTCTTGTCTTTCATCTCGCCTCTCGGTGTATACGTCGTCGGGAGAGGGTACTTCGACGTTGAGTACGGGGTCGAGGGAGACGAATTAGGAGCCGAAAAGATGGACTTGACGGCTGTGGTAAACGAAGAAGATGATGAATCGGCCTTTGGTTTGGGTTGCTTGGTGTAGATGCTGGGCATTGGGTATCGTGAAGCCATTGTGTGGGAAGCTGTCAGAGTATGGTTCAAGCTTGTGGTGATGGGATCTGGTTGTATAGATGGGTGGATTTAGTCGATGTGGACGAGGATGTAAGTCCAGAAAGAAATCAGGTTGAGTTGAGCGGCATCACCTCCCCTTTTATACCTCTCTCCCCATCTACACCACTTCCCACTTCACCGATCCCTTGACCCTTCACTTGACTCGTTTTCAACAAACGCAGAGAGATCACCGCTCCCCACGCCGCCAATCATGCACCCAGCTGACCACCATCGCGACATCGACGAAAGCCTTGTCCGTCGCCATCGCCTACTTGGCTGCCTGGGCTTATGATACTAGTACGCAGGGAATATGATTTCCCTCTCTTCACTTTTCTACGCGGTACATTCCACAAGCCAAGAGACCTTTCGCAGTACATCACGCACGACGCCCGAAGCCGAGTACCTTATCAGACGCAGAGAACGGGACGATGCCCGCAACAGGGCTGCACTCTTTCCCATCCCCGCCAATCGTATCAAGTCTGATACCCGGCGATAAGCCGACATTCTGCCTGTCCATCTGAACAAACGCACCATGCGTCACACAAGAAACTCGCAACATGGGTACAAGCTTCAAGATAAGGTAGTCAATCATGTAAAAGACAGCACGGGGGGGGGGGGCTGCGGTTACTGCCCTATTCGGCTGCGAATGCCACACTCTTCGGCAAGCTGGATCCGGCAAAGTTACGGGGGAAGCGGGAGATGGGGCCGGGGCTGGTGGCTGAACTTCGCGTGATTGTCGGATATTTGGGGGGCAGCGAGGAGTCGAAGTGCCGGGCCGGAGGACCAGTCGGGAGCGAGAGGGTCGCGGGACCGTTTGCTGCCGGGTGTGTGCCGTGCAGAGGTAGAGGAGCGTCATCGTGCCGCGATCCGTACTTGGGTATGATGACCAGTGAAGACTTGCGATAGACAGTCACGAGACAAACACTAATCTATCTGCTTTACCAGCGATTGATGGTAATGTGGTTTGCTTACTCCGCCGAGGTACTCACATCGTGACACATTCGCCGAGCGGCTGGATGCTGATGATTAACACCTCTACAGGAGTGCGCCACGGACGTTGAACAGCCCGTCTGACATTCGCAAAGCAGCACTGTAGGAACTTCTAGCACTAGAAAAAAAAAACATCACCGAGCAAACTGTATGGAGCAGATTCAACGTTAACTTTTTGGTGGTATCATGAACTAAATAGAAACAGGTATCTTTCATCGCCCACCCGTCATGACAGACATTAAGCCCTGGCGGGATCATGCATTAACTTCCCCGCCTCGGCATCGCTATGCAACAGCCACCCTCGATCCCCCCTAAACACCAACGGTCTTCTCGTGGTGAGTAATGTCACCATCGCTGTTGGGCACGGCCTTGTCGCCCTCGGCAGCCTGGCGCTCACGGAAGTTGGTGGCGGGTCTCCAGCCGACAGACTTGCTGGCGACGCTGACCTCGGCGTAGAGCTCCTCAACCTCCTCGAGAGTAAGGCCCTTGGTCTCGTAGATGAAGAAGTAGACAAAGGCGATGCAGACGAAGCAGCACGCGAACCAGACGAAGAAGATCTTTGACTGCAGGTTGGCGTAGCCGTCGCCGTAGTTGACGAGGTAGGGGGTGCTGTAAGCGATAGCCCAGTTGAGAAGCCACTGTATTTGTTAAGGTTAGCAATTTGAGCTCAAGTCTAAGGGGATTGAGTCTGGTAACGTACGTTGGTGGCAGTCGACAGAGACAGAGACTTGGCACGGGTCTTGAGGCCGAAAATCTCGCCGTTGACAACCCAGGCGAGCGGGCCCCAGGTGGAGGCGAAGAAGAAAATGTAGATGCAGACAAAGGCGATGGCGGCCTTTTGAGCAGGCAGGTTGTACACGATAATCTTGCCGGCGTCGTCCTGGCCGGTGGTCAAGGTTCCCAGCATGGCGACCAGGAACTGCGAGACGCACATGCCGACGGCACCCCAGAGAAGCAAGGGGCGACGTCCCCAGCGGTCGACGGCCCACATACCAGGAAGAGTCGAGACGACGTTGATGGACGAGGTAATCATGCCAATGACGAAGCCGTTGGAGAAGCCAGAGTTCTGGAAGTACTGCGTTCCGTAGTAGAAGATGAAGTTGATACCAGTCAATTGCTGGAGCGCCTGGAGAGCACAGCCAGTGAACTGGCGCTTGAGCACGGGGGGCTTGAAGCAGTCGAGGTAGCTACCAGTGCCGATAGTGGCCTCGTAGTCGTTGTTGGCCTTGATCTCGGCAATCTCCTCGGCGACATAGGCGTCGTTCTCAGGAAGGCGGCGGATCTTGGCCAAGGCCTTGGTGGCGCGGTCGATGTGGCCCTGCTTGATGAGGAAGCGAGGAGTCTCGGGCAAGAGGAGCATGCCGAAAAAGAGGATGAGGGACCAGGCGAACTGGACAGCGATGGGGATGCGGTAGGATCCGGTGTCCTGGCGGGCGTGGGTAGCGTTGTTGATGATGGCAGCCAGGAGCAGACCGATGGTGATGGCCCATTGGTAGGCACCGACAATGGCACCACGAATCCACTTTGGGGCGGTCTCAGACTGGTAGAGGGGGACTGTAGACATTTAGCTCAAGTTCATCACCAAGGAGAACGATAGTACTGACCCAAGGCAGAGATCAAACCAACACCGAAACCGGCGAAGAAACGTCCGGCCAGGAAGAGGGGAATGGCAGTGGCGACGGTTTGGAGAACAACACCAAGGTTGAAAACCCAGCATGAGGCGACGAGAGCCATGCGACGTCCGATGGTATCAGCGAGGAAAGGGGAGGCCAAGGCACCGAAGAAAGTGCCGGCGGAGAGGATGGAGACGATGGCGGATTCTTGGTCGGGCGAAACGTCCTTGTTGCCGGCGGTGTTCACATAGCCAGTGCTGAAGAGGCGTTGCCAGTAGGACTGGTAAGAAGCATTTAGTTTGGATGTCTCTCACAAAGAGGCTATGGAATCTAGGACACATACCATCTCAAGGATGCCGTTGATAGTACCGGTATCATATCCGAAGAGGAGACCGCCAAAGGCGACGAAGAAGCCAATGGCAATGGCCGGCCAGGCCTTGCCTGGGACACCATCAGGCTTGATACCCATGATGACGGCGGGCTGCGGTATCTGAATTGAGTGAAGTTGGCAATGCGAGAAGAAAAGGTCAAGCCGAGTTGAGCGGAGGGGATGTAGTTGCTCGGACTCTGCGTCTGAGGAAGTGATGGGCAGTGAAGGGCTTGAGCGCGAGGACGGAGAAGAGAGAAAGACGTCCGGGGAAAAGATGGGAGGAAACGAGGAGCATATAAACTCGTCCCCAGAATGCGGTACGACGCGGAGCTCCCACACAACGGGAAACCTTCCCCAAGGTGGGGGAAGAGGTGCCACGGTGCTACCGCATGTTGTTTGTTACCTTGGACTTTTCGTGGGACGCGAGCCATGACAAGGCAACAAGGTTTCTCTGAAAAAGGGGGGGTGTAATTGACACCCGAGTTCAGACAAACCATGTGGAGAGACGTCCAACAGGTCAGGATAGGGCCGATGGACGATCACGAGGTGATGTTGCGATGTGGAGGGAGGGAGAAGGAGAAGCAGATGTGTGGGTTGACAGTGAGCTCGCGGAACCCGGTACCACGGCATCAAGGCACACGAGCAGCAAAGAAGCAAGTATTGGATACTTGGTCAAGTTATGACGATCCCCATGGGCAAGGTGGCAGGGGAGGTAGACCATAAAAAAACCAGAAACAATAAAACAGACTACCTTGGTGTATCCGTAGCCGCAAAGTCGCCAGTTTAGTCCACCAGGTTTCCCATGGGTCCCCCTCATCCCCCAGCAAATGTGAATGAGCCCCAGCAGGGGAATGGCCGGCGCTAGTCAGGTAAGAGGGTGTGAAGGAGAAAGGGAGTGAGGGGTGGGAGACTCTGGGGTAGCTCTGGCTGGTTGCAAGTGTTTCACAGCAATTGGGTTCTTTTCCCAGCGAGAAGAGACATAGGTAGGCACGTAAGTGATAATTAAGAGACGCGGGCTGGCGGCAGATCTCTGCTGTGCGCGTCTAGTTTACGACTTGGCACAGTCCGGCAAGGTAAAGATATCGAGGCTGGATTTGAAGCACGGGAAGGGCACATGAGCAACGCCCCCAACGGTTCGTCGGACAAGGTAGAGCCAGGTCGACACTGATCGGCGCGACCGACTACGGATAGGACGATGTGTTTGTTTCCGCCCAATGGTATGGATAGTTGGTTGTACACTTGTATGGATGCATGATCTGAGCAAAGTTGGTTCGTCGTGTCAAGTAGGCGACAGGTGGTGAAAACTTTTTCTGGGTCGCATCGAGTCAAATCTTGTGCATCTCTCTTGCGTCTTGGGGGCGTGTGGGCATTCCCCGAGTCGTTCACCCAAGAATTTGGCAAAGGTTTTCTGGAGACTGGAGAACTGGAGGACATGGAGAAGATGGAGAAAGGGCGGGGAGTTTGGAGATTGCCAGGGCGTATGGGCAGGGCGTGGGCCGTGGGGCAGCCATTCTTGCTGGAATCGAATCCGCCCACTCTCTTCTGATCATTCTGATGGTTCGATTCATTGTTGGTTTGCGTCTGTTTTTGGGTTCAGCGTGGGCCTAGGGTTGTGTTGCTTATATGGAGCATGCCCAATTAGTTGGCAAGTGCCAAACAGAGTGGACGGTACGTCATGTTCATTCACCTTGTATCGCAACTATTGCTCGAGGCCATGTTCGGCGCTGGTGATGATGCCCCTGAATGGTGGTACTGTATCCGTAGAGACTGCAGCAGAGAAGTACAGACTCGGGGATTTGTGATCGATCGAGGTACATTGCCCGAGGTACACTGAGGAATCGCTCATCAGGTACCTCGTTCTGGAGGCTTGAGGCTTGAAGCATTGAGGTGGGGTTTGAAGGTGGGAATGTGGATGAGAGGAACAAGATGGGAGCGAGAGAATGTGCGGTTTGCGGCTCGCCAGCCAGTGACAGTTTACACTACAGACAGAAAGGCGGGCTGGGGAAACTTGAAAGTGTGTGGAGACCCCACAACGGTCACGCCGCGTCGCCGCCCGAGGCCCTCGCTTAGCGATACGTACTCTTTCTCGATGTGGAGTTAAGGGCTCTGGGCGATCCAATCAGCCAAGCAGATCGCTGAGCTTGGAAGAAATAAGCAACGGCCAAGGAAGTCGTCAACTCGTGGCTTCCTGCCTCCTATGGAGTACCTACTGTGGTATGAAATCTTTCGATTGATGAGATTACATAAGGAGGTAGCTACTCCGTACGCAAGCCGTAAAGTGCCTCCCAACTAACAATGCAGCCAAGACCCGCCGTGGCCGGCTCCGCCAACTGCCGTCTTCACAAGCTCGCAGCGTTTTGCTTCCTTCCAAGGCTGGATTGACGATGGACATGGCCAGCTCCTTCCTCTCATCTCATGCATCGTGTCACCCTCGTGATCTGCGGCAAGTCCTGCCCAGTCGTTTCGAGACATCTGACATGCTTGCTGCCTTACGTTCCCGACTCACTGGTTCAAGGCAAGCAGCGCCTGGCCTCGGCTCATAAGGTAGTCTCACTCCCTGGTAGTCTCACTCACTGAGTACGAAAGTCAGACTGAAGAGTAAGTGAGAGGTGAGGGACCCTTGCCATGATCGACTGAAAAGTCGAAACTCACTTTCGGCCCGTTTCCTCGCAGCTGCCCCGTCAATACCTTAATGTGCCCACGGCGGCGCCACGCTTCCCATGCCGGGCGGTACTTTGGTACGGAGTACTTTCCCACCTTTCGATGTTGGATCCGCAGCTTCTCATCCTGACGGCTCTCATTCGCTACTCATTCACTACTCATCTCCAACGCTCTTTCTCTCGCTGCTATTCTTTATGAAATTTCCACCTTCATCGTCAGCTGCGGCTTCACAGTTTTATTCGTCTTCATTTCTGTATATTCGTAAAATTTCCTCCACGATGATGAGAAACCCGGCGGCATCATGGCATAATCAACATTGACGTCCTCACTCGAATGAAATTACTAGCAAACGACTCGGAAGTGTTTGCTGCCAGCACAATCCGTCACCAGATCCTCGAATCGCTGAAAGACGTCAGTGGCTTCAACCGGGATTCACCGACCATCTTTCATTCGGTCGCCCTCACACCATCTCGACACTCGCCGTCTCCGCGTCCCCACCCTTCAACCGCCGCCCGTTGTTGCCCGCGCCCGCCGCCATGAACTCCATCGTGCGTGTTCTGCACTTTCCATCTCTGCATGTCTATCCCGCCGGTTCGGATCCTTACAAGCATCGACGAGACTAGTGACAGCTGCCATTCCCATGTACAACACTGATTTTCGAACGGAAAGTCGAAAGTCTCGTACAATTACGACTACTGCCGACAATGACTCTCATCCCAGCCAACGTCTCCAGCCGGCCCGATGCCTGTCAGTCTTGTCAGATCGGCCGCGTTCCATAATCTCGCTCTTTTAAGCGCCTCTTCCCCAGTCGCCCACATTCCCGCTGCCTCTCTCGGCGCTTCCTCGTTGTCTTTGCCCGGGCTCCATCCCGGCTTCGGCCAACAATCCTGGCGCAAACGCCGCAAACCCGCGACGACCTCACTTGAGCCACCGATGTGCGCACCAAACCTGCTGTTACATCCCCAACACCTAGTCGCAAACCACTTAGTAAATGCTGCCGGATAGTCTTCGTAGACACTCCTCGTGTTCTCAACAACCTCTCAACATACATCACCACCTTCGTTGCATCGCCTCTCCGTTAGCCAACGACCTGACGCATAACGCGCCGCAACGTTCACCGGCTGCTTGGCAATAAGGATGGGCTCCGTCTCAGACGCCTCCTTTGCGGGCGCTCGCGCAGTCTCGCTCGCTTAAGAATAACCCATTAGTCCCACCAAAGGCCCGATATCTCCAGGAACGCGGGGGGTTTCTCTCCGCCAGCGCGCCATGCTGGAGACTCCTCGCGTATCGATTACATCGCTAGCTCGCCCGCAGTCGAGCGCCGACGTGCTGTCTGTTAAGGGGGCTTGTTCGCTCCAGCTCAAAACACCACACAAAGTTCGAACTGGCTCCAACGCCTCTCGGGAACGCGGCAACAGAGACTATTCAAACTTTGTGTGTTCAGCTGAAGCGCACTCGGGATGGTAGATTTACGACCTCACCTTTCGTGACGTGAGAGATGGTCAGACAGGCTTGGGATGCATATACGGGTACGGAACGACGGCAGAGCTGCTGCCGGTGCTGCTCTTCCAGTGAGGCGGATTGCCACCGAGCCGACTACGCGGCCTCGAACGATGGCCGGTGTCGCTGCGCTCACATGATCCAGTCGAGGGGCCACAGGATGGCCCAGGCCATCGCTTCAGCGGTCCCAGAACTTCGACATGCCGTGGACAGCGAAGCTAGACCGGTCTCTTTCCGGGGAAGCATCTGGGGTTGTCTCCGTATCTCTGGTGGCCCAGTGGCTACAGAAATGTCAGACTGGGTAATACGGGGTTGACATTATGAATGACTTCTGACCGAGTATCCACGTACCCGTCGACTGCACATCACGAGACAACGCGGAGAAGCCTGCTTACTCCAGAATCTAGGATGTAACGAAATCCTCGTGATAGGAAATCCCACATATGCCACGCGTGGACGTGTAGGGATAGCGAGATGGAGCCTCCCTGAGATCAGGCAATCGGCCCGTTGCATAAATCCCCGACCAGGTGCATAAATCTGATAACCACAGTCTTGGTATCGTTTGACCTTATCGCTGGAAATCGGGGGCCTTGAACACTTTGGTTCAGTGTGGTGCCAAATCTGTATCCTTTGGCTTGTTCAAACGACAAAGTTGTTTGCTGCGGACAAACTAGATAGGGCCCAATGCGTCGTTTTGGGTGAAGTCTTCAGATGGTCTGTTTCGACCAATGTGGAAGTCTAGAGAAAGCCAAGCGGCACATAACAGCGAGTCACTAGAATTTGGCAAGCTGCTGGACAGACAAACACAGCATGTCTGAAGGGCATATCCATTGTGGCAATCCCCTGTCTGCTATTTCATGATTTCCAAGCCATGGAATCGGACGAGAATCGCAAAGCAAAACACCCAAATGCCATGGCCCAGTCCTACAATCACGAACCCAAAGCTTAGCAAGTCCACTGCACAGAACCGTCAGCCTTTACACCTCAATTTGCCTCGATACGCAAACTTACCTCTGCGCCACCAGGAGCCTCATACGATGTGAATCCAGGCTGGTAGATCTACAAGCGTACATGTTAGCGAACCAACACACAGCCCGATATATCTTTACACGAGAGGGGACAACGCCTACATTGACAGTATACCCGGGATCAGTCTCCTTGAATGCACCAGGAATACTCAAGGTCGGCGCAAACGAGCTCGCGGACGCAGTCGATCCCGTGACGTTGATCTGCGCGCACGAGATGTAAAACTGCGGGATGCCCGCCGGGTACGGGTTGTGGATTCCTAGCTGGTGGACGCGGAGGAGGTACTCGCCGTTGGGGAGGCACGTCGGGATCTTGTGCTCGTAGGTTTCTGGGGGGTGTCAGCGATCAGTCCGATGTCTTTGTCCTTGACGGATAGGGGTTGGTGATGTGAGTATCTTACGTCTCATTGGCCAGGTTGCCTGTCCGTTGCTAAAGGTCGGGAGGAAGTCTTTGAACTTGGCCCATTTTCCGGACCCGTCATAGTCTTGGACGTGAGAGGGTGCCTTGGACAGGAAGCTGGATATACGTTAGTAGATGATACTGTTCTAGCGGCCGAGTAAGTACTCACAGCGAGATTGGACCCTGGTGGTAGACGGCCGTGTCGAGGGTGAAGGTGAAGGAGTCGCCTGGCTTCACGTTTACCACCGTCGTCTGCGCGCCGCTGGCACCGCCGACGTTGCATCGCAAGTCATTCGAGGCGAGGTCTTGTAGTCGGAGATTTAGTATCTTCTGGCCGGGACAGAACACGTGGGTTGAGTGATGAGGGCACTTACCTGTGACCGGGGAGTTGTAGTTGGTGTTCTTCCGGATGTGCTTGAAGACGTCGTACTTTGTGGACCCCACGGACAGCTGCTGGAATATGTAGTGTCCAGAGACCTCCGAGACGGCCGCCGAGAGGACGGCGGCGACGGTGAGGAACTTCATGGTGGCGGGTCCGTAAGTTGCGTCTGGTTAAGAACACGAGCGTATACCTGGGAGCTGATTTGAATGAAGGATGAAGAAGAGAGAACCACGTCTGCAGGCTCTTGGCTCTGTATTCGTCATTTAAAGGGGATCCTGGATATTCAACCATGGGTTATGTCAAGTTGCGGGTGTGAAAAGGCTCGGAGGTCCTGCTTCCCTGATGCTACTCCGTAGAGCAGTCGTGATTGGGAGGGGGTTCAATCAACGCTGGCAATCAACCGCCCCCCTACGTGGCCACGGTGAGAGGTGGGATTACTTCGGCTGTTGGCGGGTCTCCGGAACATCGCCTATAGATGGTGCATCGCGTGATGGGTGGTTTACTTTGATGGCCAGGAAACGGTACCAGACGCTGAGTTGACCTGGTTGTGTCCAATATGGCCCTGCCAATGCTGGGCAGCGTTGTCGGACCACGAGACTTGGCTTTGAATGGTGACAGGTCAGTGGTCGAGGATGTGCTTCGAGTGTCTGATTACCTCCCATACAGCACCCAGAGCTACCCTTAGAGGGTTGCCACCTCTGTCGGGCAAGATCTCTTGGATCATTCGACGTGCTTCAAGGCTGACAAATGCAGGATCATGAAGACGACTGTCTACAAAGTGGTACACCCTATCACTGTGTTTCGGAGAGACGAACAACGGAGGTCTCGTCAAGAACCACAAGTTGAATGCAGGGTAGCGTTGGATCTTAACAGCGGTGTCGAAAGTGATGTAGCCACCGGCAGAAGTCATGCATAGCACGTGAGCCGTCCATTTGCCGGAGATGACCTGCACCCCGGACTTTGCAATCTACTTAAATTAAGCTTGTATGGGACAACATTTTAGCCGTGTAGATCACTTGACGACGGACGTCCTCGGCTCAGCTGCATGTGTGCATGGGAAGCACTGCCTACGGTACACTATGATGAACACCACCTATGACGGAATGCAAGATGAGGAAGGTGAATTTAGAGAATATTGAAGGGCACTGCGAACAAATATCTCTCCCATTTTGCTAGAGAATGATATAAGCGCGGGTGGCCAAAGCCATTAACAGTGACAATCTATATTTGCGACCCACGATGTCCTCGCTGCCGCAGCTGCATATCTCCTGATATGAATTGTAGATGAGACTGCAGCCAGTCCTGAAATATCAACATGGTAATGCTGAGCAGCCTGATAGGATGGTCTACATTCGCAGCAACCTCCTTCCCGGAAGTTATCCGGGATCGTGAAACGGAGTTCCGCGGAGCCAGAACCTCCGAGCTCTAAAAGGTACATTTTCTCTCCCTCCGCTCACTGATCTATCATCCTCATACCACTACTCAATAATCAATCCAACCTATAGGAGCTCCTTCTAGTCAGATTATAATGATTATTCAATAAAGGCGAGTGGTGATGACCTCAGAGCGAATGGTCTTTTACAGTCCCGGGACCGACCTCATAAGGATTTGAATCAAGCGTAGAAGACGACCCGGTGCATACCAATTCACTTCCCACACGATCAACGGCGTTCATAAGAATAGAACTTGTTAGGAACACCTCCGATCTCCCCGTCCGGAGCGAGAAAGTGGATCGTTCCCGGCCCGCATGGGAAGTGGAACACATCCGCCCCTTGCCTTTCGGGATTTGAGCTTCCGCAAGCCCCGCCGATAAGGCGAAGTGACCCATGCTCACACCGAGTAACATGCTTGACTTGCATTTGGCTGCTCTGTTGAAGTTTGATTCCTAGTCGGAGAAATACCGATAGTCTTATACCGTATACGCGGATAGTCTATTGTGTGCGGTTGAGTAGTATAATTGAGTAGCTGCCGTGGCCTTAATTGGAGTCGGCCCGATACTTGATGATGTCAACTAACGACAAAAGTCGTGATTAAAGATGGATATATGCAATTCAGAGGCCGGATTATTCAGTTTTCACTGTGGTCTTTATGCAAAGCGGTGTCTGCCAACCCGATGGGGCTTAGGTTTACTGCAATAAGTGCTTGAGAACAACACCTTTTTCTTTTGGTGTTTCTTCTTGTCTTTTCTCCGCTTCACTGAGACGACTATTCATTGCCAGAAGGCACCGAGATCATGGCAGCTAACTCAACGGATGGAACAGAAGACTTTGGGCCCTCGCAGCAGACTGTGTTCCCTACGTCAGAACGACCAAGAGCCAACCTCCTGCTTACATTGGCTAGCACGGCGAAAGTAGACTCGTCCCCACGCGCAAATAAATCAGCAGGCTAAGATAAAAGGACTTGAGCTTTTATATCATGCGGTAGAATTCACCGGCTATATCCAGTCAAGTAACATCGCCACGTCTCGGCAATCTAACCTCGACACCCCTTTCTGTGTATTGGGCAAGTACCGGACGGAACTATAAGCATCACAGTCTAGACTGACCGATGTGTCATACGGGTAGTTCGTTTGAAGTGTGTTGTAAATCAGTCGTTCAATAGCCTTAACTATCGAGCATCGCCCTCGAGGCGAATGACGCTGAGTTGCGGTTAAGGTGTTTACTGAGACACGTACCTCTCGATAACTTCCAGGAAGATTTACTGCAAATCTCAAGATGAAGACCTTCATCACAATCCTCACGACGCTCGTGGCTCTGAGCGATGTCGTCTCCGCCCACTGTGAGAAGTCTTAGGTGTGAAGTTATTGCCATCCCCGGCTAACAACCCTACCCAACCAGATCGCTTCACGAGCCTCGTAGTTGGGGGCGTCAACACGGGCGAATACGTCCACGTCCGGCGCAACACAAACTACAATAGCCCCGTCACAGACGTCCTCAGCAAAGACATCGTCTGCAACGCTGGCGGTCTCTCCTCGGGTCCGGCGACGCAAATCGCCACCGTCGCGGCCGGTTCGACCGTGAATATTCCATTCTACTTGTGCTCCCATTCTCACACCCCTTATCCGCCTCCCGATCCCTCACCCCCTCCCCGGTTCCGTTTCTCCGTGTCATGATACCTTACCCCCGAAGCCCCGCGGACTGTCGCTCGACTCGACTTACTACTAACTCACGTCTGCAGGTCGGTTTCGCAATGGACCAAGCAATCTACCACGACGGGCCCGTCATCGTCTGGCTCTCGCCCGCCGCGGGGTCCTCCAGCAACGTCACAACCTATGACGGCAGCGGTCCCTGGGCAAAGATTTGGGAGCTAGGCGCGCAGACAGGCAACGGGCAGATCAAGTTCCCCGCCTCGAACCAGGCCGGCTTCAACTTTCAAATCCCTTCATGCACACGTACGTCACGACTTTCTTCTTCTGTCAAGCCGGTCAAGTGTTTGACTTACTCGTGCTACATGTGCTTGCTTGCTTCCCCCGTACGCTCCTTATCCGGGACCATGCAGCCGTGATCATCGTTGGTCCCCACGGACGGGCACTTAGAAATGTTCTCAACGCCCGTCCGTGTGTGATAGAGTTGGCAGGTCGGAGTACTGACGGAGTCTAGCCCCGGGAGAGTACCTCCTCCGCATCGAGCAGATTGGTCTACACTCCGCCAGCGCCAAGGCCGGAGTCCAGTTCTACATCTCGTGCGCCCAGATCAAAGTGACGGGTTCAGGGAGCGGCAGTGGCTCGTTCTCGCCTACCGTCAGATTTCCGTGAGTTGTCCCAGCCAAGCTTTCATATCATTGATCGTGCCATGTTCTGTTTTTCCTGAAGAAATCCATTCCAACCTTTCCCCACATCCACAGAGCTCCACCAGCAGGGCCAGACGCGGGCGGGCGGGCGGCGCGCGGCTCGTTCTCGTTTAAACAATAAAAGAAAATCTTTCCTCTCAATGGAACCTTGATAGGATCTGGCAGGTGTGTTAATCTCCGCGTATTACTAGGGGCGCATACACTGGCAACGAGCCCGGTATCTTGATCAACATATACTACCCAGTGGTGAGTCGCGCGCACACGTTCCGCCCCTAACCGCACCGACGGAAAGTGAAGTCATCGTGAGCGAGTCGTGCTAATGTCTTGGTGGGGTCAAAAAAGCCAACTACATACACCGTTCCGGGAGGACCTGTGGCAACGTGCTGATCTAGGCCCTCGTTTGTGTCATCTCAAGAAGAGGGGTGACGCAACGCCAAAGAGATTTCTTTCCTTCCACGATAGCCATGGTTGTTGGGTATTAGGCTTTCCGCGGTTTCCACGGCCGCACGGCGTGCGTGGCTGGTTGGCTGCGCGTGCCGCTGCACAGCCTGTAAGTGAAGTGGACGATGATGAATACGAGGAATTCCAAAACAGAGACAATATTGAATGTTGATCAAAATTTTTTGATTTGTTGATTTATCTACCAGAATAGCTTCGTGATATACACGAACTTGGCGGAGGTGTTGGGCATGGCTGCCATGTCGAGACTTTCATGTCCGACAATGATTATCTTGAAAAAAAAAAAATTGGGCTCAAGAAAAAAACACCAGACTCCATTCGCAAAAATCCCAAAGAGTCGCTCATCCGGTCCAGAAACCCTCCATAGAAACAGGGAAATAACCCCCACTCTAGAAAGCCCTATCAAGATCGTCAAAAGAGAATGAAAAGAAAAAAAGACACAATAGAGCTCCCATAAGTCGTTATCCCCGTAATCACCGGCTCTCAACACCCGGTCTCAAATCCCGACCCCGACGATCCATTCCCCTCTTCCGCTGGATTCGCGATCAATAGGGGCTCCACAACTTATCGGGGCTGCCGGGATAGTCGAGATATGACTCGGGGACGGGACTCGAAGTCGATGCGGGAGGAGGGACGATGCGGTATGCGTTGAGCGCAGACATATCCAATGCCAAGCCCCCGGCCCCGTTGTTGCTGTTGGTGTTGCTCACCAAGTCCCACGCCGGAGCCTGCCCCGCAACAGCAGCAGCAGCAGACATCTGCTGGCTCGCGCGGAGCCTGCAGCACTCGTTGGCCAAGAGTCTGTAAGCACAGCAGAGCGCGTCGTTCTTCTGACTCATGTCCTGGATCTGGGCCTGGAGCTCCTCGAGGCGAGACTCCTTGCGCTTTCGGTAGGCGCGCTGGTTGGCGCGGTTCTGGGCGCGGCGTTTCTATACGGAGGACAAGGTGGTTAGTATTTTTGTGTGCCATGCGTCTTTCGGATGCGGCCCGCGGGAGTTGAAGATCAGGGAACCGATGCTTGCTTAAAAACGGGGAAATTTGACACGGACACGGGGAAGAAAAGCAAGATGGGAAGCCGAAGAGCAACTTACTGATAGCACTGACTCGCTGCAGTTCTTATATCTGTTACCCCGTCTTCCTTTCTGAGCGGTCTTTGAAGACTCTTCGGATCCGCTGGTGGGGGAGTGTGCGTCATCGTGCGAGTCGTCTGCCTTGCTGTGATCGATGCTGGAGGTCGGGCTTTGAGGGCTAGACCATAGTGACGTCGGAGTGCAGTAGCCATTCTCGTTGGAGTTCTGTTCTAGGTGTGAGTTTCAAAGCCTGAGTTGTGGTGTTTTGGTGTGTTATCACATACGATGCGTGAGGCGAACTGCGCGGCGATGATGTCGTATGGAGTTGTGCCAACCATTGAGGAGAAGTCGACGGGCATGGCGTATGGTGGGAGCTCTGGTGATGTACTGTCCATTGCGCAGATGTGTCTTTGGTGGTTTCTCCAACTTCTTTGTTGACAATGATTCAAGGTGGTTGAGAGAAGTTCGATGTGGCAATACAAGGATCACGGTGACGATGGATGGCGAACTAGTGTGAGAACTGAGAATAGTGGTATAGATGGATCTGTGGGATGAAGAGGCGAAAAAGGGAGGCGTGGAGATGGAGGGCAGTAGCGTGATCGAGGAGGCGAGGGTGGGCAAGGGCAACTTATATATGCTACGTCCTCGGGTGAGAGCGAAGCATCGCCAAAAGATCTCCGAAGACGGCACGAGAGAGAGATGTGACGATTCTATCCGTAGTATGACCAGAAACAGGACAGGAGACAGGGGGCAAGGGGGCGTGGGAATCAGACATAGTTGTAGACTACATGGAGAGCCGATGGAACCATGGGGAAACAAGAGCACGAGAACCATGGGCTGGAACCAATGACGGCGTGTGTTAATGTCAACGCTGGCCCGGCACGCGTGGACAAAGACATGAGAGCGAGTACCTGCATATGGAGTCGGTCGCTCTCCCATCCCAGTCCGTCGCATCTGGAATTCGGTATTCGGTGCCGCGCCGGTCTACGGTGTACGTATCTGGAGAGGGAGGGGGTGTGTGAACAGTGCAAGGCTTGGTCAACGATGGGACCAAAGAGCTATGGTGGGTCACCGTCCGTGTGTCTGTGTATACATGAAGGGTGAGTGGATGGTTGGTGAAGAGTCGGAAGAGAAGGATGTTGTGTATCTATGAGTGTGTGAGAGATACTTCAGATTATTGGAAGAGACGTGCTTGTCTGGAGTATCTTAAACCGCAAGTACATGATACTACAATGCGTATGTCGGGACTCGAAGCCAGCGTCTCGAGAGCAACCAAAGACGGAGGGTGACAGTGCAATATTCGCGCGTTGTTTCGAAGCCAGGACTCAAAGCCAGAACTGGGCAAAATAGAGGGCCAGAGAGGACTCTCTCAAGGAGCTGATTCGGGCTGGGACCCATTCGATCCCGGGACGCCGGAGACGAATCGCGTGTTTTGGAGAAGTCGAGGCCCGAAGACGAGCGGAGACGTTCCGGGAATAGCAGAAGGGAAGGGGAGCCACTGGGCCCCGTCACAAGTTAAGAGAGAGAGGGAGAGGGGAGCAGTGACTCCAGTCTCAGTGAGAGGCTCTCACTGAGAACGTCTCTAGTGAGACAAAAAAGTGTGGGTGAGTGAGAGGAAATGTGAGTGACTGAATCAGTAGGCGCGCTATTTTCCCTGCTGGCTGCGGGTTCGATCGGTTTGGTTTCCCAGCAATCATTGCGGGAGCTAATCTTCATTCAGCTTAGCTTTAGCATTGGCTCAGAACACCTTATTTTCTGTCAAATGTCTTGTCTCCGTGGACCGCGGACCGTAGTGTACGGATACAAAGTGTGTGAGTGGGCGGGAGTGGTGTGTGTGTGTGTGTGCCCGTAAAACGCGAATCTAGGCGAGCTCGGCCTCATCCGTTATGATATCACTCCGTCCCTCAATGACAAGGATGACATATGTATGAGCGTTTCTGGCTATCTGTAACTCTGTGAGATGCAGCTGTACTTCACTCTGAGCGAGTTTGCCAAGGTGATCTAGACTTGGACTGATCTGTGTTCGCAGAGGGGGTTCAACCGTCCAGCTCAGCCCGAGCCCAGAGGGGTAACGATGAGACTCGCCGGTACCAAAGTGTCAGTTAACCTCTGCAGAGCCACAAAAACGAAAACAAAGCCCTGCAGATTCGTAGTCTGTATCCGTAGAGACTCGTCATCCCGTGATCTTCGCGCAGTGCTCCACGGATTTACCACTCTTGCGTGGGTCAGACGGTTTGTTTTCTCCCGCGATATTTTCTCACTTCATTTCCACTCCGTTTTCTAGACTCTCTGATTCTCTGTGTCACCTTGGGACTTTGCCCGGCATTTCGGCGTCTCGCAAAGTGGGCGGCCCCTTTTTACTACACTCCCCATTGAAAACGAAAATTTCAGACAAGTTTTTTTAATTACTCTTTCCCCATCTTGAGCAAGAAAAACCCTTCAACTTCAGCTGCTTCAGCTGAAGATAGCTCGGATGGGACGGTTTCCTTTCCCCCCAATGTGAATGCCCTCACAACGACATCATGGGACCATGGGCAGTGATCAGATCGGCAGAAACTCAAAAGGCCTGGACCTGTTCTCCCGTGTGGCTGCCTCCCTCTCCAAAACTTTCGAACCGTTGATTCCGCCTTGCATTGAAAGACTGCTGGTCCGTACGGTCCAGTCCAGACGCCTTCAGAGCTACCGGTGCCCTTTCGGCTCCGACAAAACTGCATTGACCAATTCTATAGCCGCCATCGGGCGACGGGATGTGTTGCTGGGACCGGGATGTGAACATTACTTACCCGAAAAGGGAACAAAACAACTCTCCTCCCTAGGGCGTCCAGCCACAGCCCTAAGGAAAACATCCAGCCCTTTTCTCCCTCTTGTTCTTCCCGTCAAGACCACGACCTTGCGGTACAGGGGTGCCGTACGCCTGACTCGGGTACGTCGGACTCGCGTCGGTGGCGTGTCGGTGGTCGGCTTCAGCTTGCGCCGGGGGCACAGTGAAGACTGTCAGGGAATCGAAGCTTCAAGTGACAAGCGATAATTGGGTAGTATTCCAGCAGAGCCGTCAGTTTCATTCCCGGTAGTTCCCATGGCGTAAAGTGGGATATGGAGACAACTTGAGCAGGGTGGACTCGCGTAAACCGGCTCCCCATTGATCATCCTCGCCCATACGAGTCTCGCAGAAACCTGCACTCCAGTGGTACTTGATATCCCTGAATAAGCTTATCCTACGGAGCGTATCGCTGCAAATCCCTATGTATCTGTCTCTCCCTTCCGGTTCATCATGCTTCCTCTTCTGAAGCTTGACGCCAGAAGCAGACGGGGAGAGCCACCCCCTTCCCCTCTCACCCCCTCACCCCCTCACTACCATCACCACCAGACCAACGGTCCATCGATGCACAGAAGGCTTGGCGTTGTCTTCCGATGCTTCGATGCGCTTTCCACCCGGTATCCATCCCCAATCACGTCGTGAACTCGTGATGGCCAGTGTGGGTCGAATTGGTGACGTGCTGCATGCGGTCCGTCAACTGCATAGCAATTGTTGATCACTGATATTCGAATCTCTAGATCACTTTTGACAGCATTGCCCACTAAAGAAGCAATCGCATCTATCTCGGGATTACACGTCGCCCATATGTCCAAGATCTCCCGTAGACCGCCACCATGTGATGAAAGACACCATGAGCTCGTTCGGCACCGATCGTCGGAGCGCCGTGGTGAACGAAGCACACTACATTGGCTGCTGACGTCGTCGAACAGAGGAAATCCCTCCCTCCCCGCTCGGTCGCCGTTTAGAAGCACGGGTCCCGCCGTCAAGTTACAAGCCCAGCTATGAATATCCTACCGTAGTTTGCGTCGGCACAGATTCCATACTCTATGGTTGGTCCCCGAAAATCGACGTGTTCTTAATCCCGACTTACCCGCCCAGCGAAGCAGGATAGAAACTCTATCCTGAGCCGTTGGAACCGGGGGGCAGCTCACTGGAGCCCAGTGCATGGCCAGGACACACCACCACATCAGGAATCCGGCACAAAGGCGCAAGTGCGCCGCAGTAGCGCCTATTTTGCGGAAGCGGCTGATGTTGACGTGAGGTCCTGGACTTTCCACGTCCTGGCCCATGTCAACTGTGCCGATTCCGATTCGCATCTTTGCATGGTTGTATTCAGTTGGTAACCCAGGGATGGTAGGCAATTGAGCGTTTCCCCGGCCATGTCAACCCTCACTTTGCCCCGCGGAATGGCCGATAAAAAGAGCGGGTACAAGGCCGATTCGTGATCCATTATTCATCGGCACCGTCACGGCGAAGCGGAGGCACGACGGAGTCCCGCACCGGGAGCCCCTGCACATGCGCCGAGATATGTTGCCTACACCTGACTCTGTGCCACGCAGACATGCGTATTTAAAAATGCGCCACAAAATTCGACTGACTGACGCGAGGGCGAGCGAAAACGTTCTTCTTTGCAGAAGGGCATTTGACTTTTCGGGCGCTGTCAGAAACATCAGACCAGAATGTGACTTTTCAGGCTACCCTTCTCTTGAGGAGGGCACTTATAGCAAACAACAAAGCCGGCATATCCCCTCTCAAGTCTCGAACCCGCCGCACCGCAAGAGCCTCTTCCCATCCCTACCGACTCTTTCGCGACGCGAGATTGCCCCCGAGACTCAAGCCACACACGTCGAGCTGTTTGAACGTTTCTTGAACCCTGAATTCTGGGGTTCGCCCACGCATCCCCGGCGCACCCAATCTCGTTGGCCCGTTGAACCCATTTTCATCCCAACTCGAGAGGCTTAAGACTCAATACGAGGAAGCTCGAACCAAGGAAATGCGTCTGGACCTCTCTTCTCCGCGGGTACTGGGTGTGGTACCCTTTCCTTCGGCCAACGACGTCTTATTGCCGCCGGCTACATGACTGGCATGCCGAGATCGTTGTGCTGTAGCCTAGATCTACAGAGTCATACTTGGAGAGATGCTGCGTCTGTCACGAATAATCATTAATTCTGCAATTTAGCTTTTCTGATTTCAAAACCACCTTTGCTCTCTGTTGGGGCCCAGAGATTCGTCATCAGCTCTATCCCACCCACGGCCGTCGTCCCAGAGCACAAGTGACGACTCCCGCCGCGCTGCCGTCCCAAGAAAGGCGTCGTCATCCGCCGCCTCATAGCCCCCGTACGCCACACATGTCTAGAAGAGGTCTGGACTACGATCGTCTAGCCTAGAACATCGGTTCTAGTCCCCGCCCTAGCGAGGTTTCTGGGGTATCTCGTTTTCTTGTGAGAGGTTTCACTTGGTGAAGATCGAGTTTTGATAAAGATCTATTTTAAGAGCGGCTGAAAGGGCCACCACTTATCCGTTCTTGTGCTGGTGAGCACGCCCTACCTCAAATTGTAAGTCGATGGCAAGGAAACACATCATCCCAACACAAAGCATGTCACTCTTGGCCATCAAACTGTCAAGCACACAGAAATGTCTTGGTAGCTATTGATTTCTTAGCCCTTCCGTGCCGATGAACATGTGAAGTATATCCTCAAGGTTGAAACCACCCGGGTACCCGATCGAAGCCCTCAAGCCACCTCCCTCGGTCCACGCCAACAAGGGACTCAAACCCAAGAATGGGCTGCCATGCTCCATAGTCAAACGGACCGCAAAGTCTTCCGTCGGGGTGAGCAACGGCGTGCATGTTGGCCAAGTGGTCTAACGTGTACAACAGCGCTCATGAGAACTCACATTTAAAAGACTGGCCTGCCCGACCGTAGTCCCTTGTTACAGCAGAGGTCATAATAATGACATATCTTACCATTTTGCCAGTTGGAACCTTTTGACTTTTCCTGAGAAATGGCTTCCATTTTGCTAGATGATCTGTTTAATGTAATTTCTTGCGCCGGCGTTGTGAGGATGTTCGCGGGAAGGGGGATGAGAGCCATATTGGCGATAATGGGAGTTCGAGTCTGCCTTTGGACACTTTTTTCGAGGTTCAGTTTCGTCAAGAAAGACGTTCTATGTGATACTTGGTTCTTTAGGTAAAAAATTGGTCTGCACAATGTGTAAAAATGCGAGCGAACTAGTCGTTCTGTATCAACAAGGGCACATTTTGTTGCATGATCTACATCGTGCCAAATAGAACGAATAGAAATTGGCAGCAACTCTTAACTCCATTGCCGAATAATACCGCGGATCCCAGAGAATAATTGGAAGAGAAGACTTCCACTCAAACTATTCCCTGAACCCTATGCAAATCGTCAGCTATCCACGCCTGATTTGGCCCAAACCAGCCCAGTATATTGATCCATTGCCCATACCCCATCTCCATACGCCAGTGAAACAATTCAGGAACTGTTGGCAAAGAACTTGGTAATTTTTTGCGTACCGCCCTGCTTCGCTTTGACCGGGCTTTTATTCCCGTTGCTCGTAGGATTGATCCTGCTCTGCCTCCCCTTCACAGGCGAAACCCTCGACGTCTTCCTGGGCGGCTCTTTGTCTGCATCGCCATCAGCGTCAGGTGCCTCCCTCTTGAGCCCCGCTCCCTCCTGGCTGCCCTCCTCTTCAGCCGCTTTGGCGATGACTTCCGGCACCGGCTGGTCCTGGCCGACTTGCGACTCCTTGGGCTCCTCCTTTGTCTCGATAGTAGGCTCCAGCTCCGTGGCCTCCTTGGACTTTTTCTTGGCAGACGCATTGGCAAAGAAGTTTGCAATGTTGGCCTTGTTCTCTTTACTCGCGACGGGAATGATGAAGGAAGGCGAGTTGTTGCCGACCTTGCCGACCTCCTTGCTGACCGCGTAGCATTCGAGCTCGCCGTCAAATGGCTTCAAGAGGTCCTGCAGCTCCTTGGACCATTCGTACCGTTTTGGATCCAGCCAGGTCTTGAGCTCTTTAGAGCCCGGGTTGAGGATGACTGGCATCCTGTCGTGGAGGAACTTGAGCTGCTTGTTGGAGTCTGTCGTGATGATGGTGTAGGTATACCGCTTGTCTTGGGCATCTATCGCACATGTTAGAGTTCTCGCGACAGAGCCGTCCAAATCGTGATAATGCTCACCTTCATACTGCGCACAATCCCACAACCCAGCAAAACACATGAGCTGCCCATCCTTCCTCTTCACAAAATGCGGCGTCTTCTCCTTTCCATTCTTCAACCACTCATAAAACCCCTGAGCCACGACGATACACCGCTTCCCCGCCTTCATGGTCGACCACATCCCACCAGGTGTGCTCAGCGAGTCGTCGCGGCAATTGATCGTCTTGGAGAGCGTGCTGTAACCGGGATCGCGCTTGGTCCAGAAGGGAATCAAACCCCACTGCATCGACTGCATCTTATACTTGACCGAGACATCACCGCTCTCATTGCTTTTGGGTTGGCTTGATATCGCTTCGGAGGTGGCATTATCCTGTTGGCTGGTCCCTTGATCACGGCGGTGCCCCGCACCACGGTCTGGGACATCGGCGCGGTAGACGACGCCGTGGTAGCCCGGTGCGAAGTTGTATGTCTGGCGAGGGGATCCCTGGCCCTCGTCTTCTGGCGCGTCATCCACTGACATGTCATCGTCTTCCAGCATCCGCCGGATTTGCGACGGCCGCTGCGGTTGTGTTAGTCTCGCCATGAAGCTTGGCTGTGTCTGCGAGACTCACCAGGGCCAGAGCGTATCTTCCGCACATGGTCCTCGATGACCCAGTGATTTATGATTGGAGTATCCTGTTACAATTGCTTGCACTGAGATGCGCTGGATGCCTTCAAGGGCCGAGAGCTCATATGCATTGATGACGTCGTCGAGACGCGGGCCATTGTGACGGACGTGACTAATCTACGCGCTAGACGCACGCCGGCACGTGACTCCTCTCCTTCACCTTGGAAGTATCACGAGAAATCTCATTTGCTTCATTTTCTACGTCGTAGAACTCAATGTAATACCATTGCCGCCCTCTATATACTCGCAGTTCTACCTTTCAAACACTCACACAACTCCAACTCGAAGCAGCATCAACATCCCCCTTCCCATCCCAAGAAGCATACCCGGGGTAACTACAGATCGGCCTCTGCCTCAACACCCCCTCACCAACAGTGTCGTTACCAAACTTGGTCGCCACAATCTCCCTCACGCCTTTCCCACTCTCAACCCACTCAACAAGTGCAAGCAACACATCATGCCTCGCATCGTTCATCCCAGGCACAGGGAAGACATGCTGCCCATTCCCCTCCAACGCCGCTGCATGCCCGCTCCCGCCAAAGTACCACGGCGCATCATACACCCCGCCCGAACAATGCTGCATCCCAGGAACAAAAAACAACCTCCAAAACTCGTCCAAATCGACGCCACGCGCCGCCATGGCCGCCCACGTCTCGTCGTACAATACGCGGCTCACATCCGTCGGAATTAGCCCGTCCGCGTAGCCGTGATACTGCACCAGTTTCCCGCCGCGTCCGTAGAACGCAGAGAGATCAAAGTTATCCGCGTTCACGTTGCCCGGGTTCAGCCGTGCAGCCTCGACGAAAGTAGAGTAGTCAAACTGCGTCGTCCAGTCCCACGACGGGTCGTCAAAGAGGTAGTTCTTGGCGTATTCCGTCCCGTAGAGACTAGGCTCGTTATTCGATCCAAACGACGACGGCATCTGCTTCTCGGAGCCCAGGCCAAAGTTAGGGTACACGTACGTCACATTGTGAACCCCGGCGTCGAGCTGAATGAGAGGGCGGTACAGCTGCTTCAGTGTCGCGATCTGCGGCGCCGTCAGACACGCGGAGCGGTTTGACCTTGCGTCGCCGCAGAGCATCTTCTCCGGCCGGAAGTCGCAGTGCGCAGGGTTCATCACCACACCGTCAACAATACCATCAGACCCGTCGCACTGCCTCAGAACCTCGTCGCTGATGGCCTCAAACACGGCAGGCGGGAGATACCCAGGCTCGTCCTCGGGCAAATTCACAGCCCTGACCTTGAGCTGCCACAGCTGCTGGCTCGTCGACATCCATGCCGGCGCACCGGCCAGGATCCCGTCAAAGTCCTCCGGGTGATCCTGCGCCGACTTCACGCCCTGCCGGCCACCCGTCGAGCAACCAGAGTAATACGACCTGTTGGCCGCGGCGCCGTAGTATCCCTCTACAATCTGCTTCGCGATGACAGTTGAGCCGTGGAGACTGCGCCCAGCCCAATCAGCCTTGGCCTCGGGGTTGTTGAGCGCCCAGCCCATGTCCTGGTTGGACGAGTTGTGACCTGTGGAAGTCGACATTGTCGCGAAGCCGTATTTGACGCCCGTGCCCATGGCGTACCAGTTGATACCCCCTGAGAACCCCCCGTTACCGACGGCGAGGAAGCGATTATTCCACTCGTCTGGCAGGAAGATGCCAAATGTGTAGGACGATGTCGGTGAGGACGTGACATTGATGGAGACGACGCAGAGGGGCGGGAGGTGCGTTGCGTTTTGGGGGTAGGCGATGTTGCCCGCCTCTCCAAATGTGCCATTGTCGCCCAGTTGTGAAGCTGTCAAGACCTCGGCTTGGTTTTCGATTGTGAGGAGGGCGCTGATACTTTCGAGTGAACACCCAGTTGAGAACTTTTGCGAGGAGACCTGAGAGGCGCATCCCGCCGCCCATAAAAGGAGACTAAGGATTCGCGGAGCAGACGGCATCGTGACGAACAAGAAGCCCAGAAAGAATATGCCAAGTTAAAGTCGTCCCAACACTCTGGCACTGCGCACCTTATTCATGGGCGTGGCACTGTATCCGTACTTATACGAACCCCATGGCTGGAAATGTAATCTGAACCGTTGCATTCACTCATGATTTCACCCCGCTGGCTCCGCAATCCCACCTCCATCATCCCCGCGTATGGTTGAAAGAGTGTGGGGAGTCCATCACTTGGACCCCGCAACCTGGTTGCGCTAATCTTATATCAGTCTTGTCAGATGAACATCTCAGAGGGGGAAACAAATGGAAACCAAGTCCGAGGTGCAAGGTTTGTAGCCAAATGCGACGTTGCTGTTGGCTCCACGGCTCCGGGGATAAACAAAACCCCACGGCGTCCGGCATCGGCCCGGTGGTGTGGACTGCAAGGCGGCCTTTAACCGCTGTCATTACCCGCCTCATTCAGTGTCGCTGGAGTCCTGGATCCAAGTAGATGAGAATAAGATACTCCAAGGCTGACCACCTCGAGACAATGTACCGAGCGTCACCGCATATGGGCCATACGCCTTTGATCTTTCATGTCTTCGTTTGGTCTGATACTAGACTCTGTCTGAAGACAGCAAGTACTGCTCTGTCAAATCGTTTACAGAAATGTACAGTCCCTGGTTGAATGAATGCCATGCCTCTCCACAAGAAAACTCTGAAAACTCCGTGATTCCCTTTTAGATATTCCGCCTCGACTTGCGCTTGAGTGCCGTCTGCGCAGCCCACGCGTCCTCGAAAATAGTCTTGCGCTGTCCAACATCTCCCCTCTCCATGGCGAGGCGGCGCACCACGTGGAACGCACCTGTTCCCACAGTCATGGTCTGACCCATAATGATACACTCACTCACGCCCTCAATCATATCCGTCTTCATCCCCGCTGCTGCCTCGAACAGATGGTCTGGCGTCTTCTCGAACGAGGCCAACTGGAGAACACTGTCTCTCATCTTGGATAGACCGAATCTCGTGATACCAAGGACCTCACCCTTGTACGTCATGACATCAGCAAGCAGCTGCATGTGACGCGGGTCGATACCCATGTCTCCCATGACCTCGCCAATTTCAAAGGCAATCGTGCTTCTTGCGGCCTCGATACCCAACACATCTCTGCACTCCATAATGTTGTTTGACCTGACCCTTCGTCCCTCGACACCCTCCGTGTTCATGCAAGCGAGAAGCCCGTAACCTTCGACTAGAACAGTATGGGTTTCGTCCTCAGACGATTGGATAATGGCACGAGTGGCCTCAGGGTAACCCGAAATGGCCACGGTCGGAATCGTCCGGCGGAGATAGTTGGCTCGCACCAAGAGGTCACCAAGCTCATCCACGGGCTTGGCTTTGACAGACCGCTTGGCAGCCGCGGACTCGTCGAGGCGGACGCGAATCTCGATTCTTCCAGCGCCAATGTGCATATCGGACCTTGAGACCTTCATCTTCTTGTGCTTGCAAATGGCCTCGGCCACATCACCAAGGGTGATGCCTAGTTGCATGTCGGACAAAGCATCCATGTCGACCTTGAGCACAACGCTTCCTGACTCGGCGAACCATTCGTCTTCAATGTAGCTCAGAATATCCTCCACAAACGTCTTTTCGATACGCGCCTTGACGATTTTCGCGGCGGTCATCTCCCTGTTCTGCATCAACGGGCAAGTGATGACGGGGGTACTGATAGTCTTGGAGGCGTTGATAATTTCCTTGATACGTGGTACACCCTGGGTGATACTCATACCGGCGACACCAGCAAAATGGAAAGTCTTCAGGGTCATCTGAGTACCGGGCTCACCAATGGACTGCGCACCAACAGCTCCGACGGCATGTCCGGGCTCGACGTGCGCCTTCTTGTACTTTTCCAAACAAAGTCTGATGAAGAGTCGCAATGTCGTCTCGGACATCTTGGCGACCTTGTCAGCAAAGGCCTTCTTGGCCTTAACCTCGTCCTCGTCAATGTCGACATCCATGCTGTCGGCGTTGGCTGTCAGGCCGGTAAGCTCCATCACACGGGCAAGCTTGTTGGCTCGTCCGGCAATGTACGACTCGAGGGAACGTAAGAAGTCTCTGGCGCCTTCGTGCTCGTCTGTGTACTGTTCTTCCTCGTTGTCGTAATCAAGAGTCAGATCGCCAAGTAGCGACTTTCTGGGATAACGCGCGCGTTCCCGAGCAAGCAAGTTGTCGCAAAGTTTGACCATCTCGTTGGGGAGCAATGCGGCCTCGTCGTTGTCCCAGGTGAGATTCTCGGCGTGAGAAAAGGTTCGATCAAAGTTGACAGGCTTTGCAGAAGCCTCCATATCGACGGGGTCCAGCTTGTCGGCACCGAACTGGAATTGGACGATACCGCCGCCGGAAGTCCGCACAGTGTCATCGTACTGCGTTGACAGATCTTCCAGGGACTTCATCAGTCTGCGTGACATGTAACCGGTCTCGGCCGTCTTGACAGCGGTATCGACCAGACCTTCACGACCAGACATGGCGTGGAAGATGAACTCGGTGGGCAAGAGGCCAGAGTAGAAACTGTTCTCGACGAATCCCTTGGACGGCGGTTGAGGCGCATTCTTGTGGAAGTGAGGAAGCGTTCTGTCCTGAAAACCATCGGCAACACGCTTGCCACCAATAATCTGCTGTCCGACTAGGGCAACCATCTGGGCCACGTTAATTTCTGAACCCTTGGATCCAGACTTGGCCATGACCAGCGGGGCGTTGTTCTTGCTGAGAGTCTCGATACAGTGAGAACCAGCCTGCGTTCTGACCTTGCTGAGAAGACCCGAAATGGAGTTCTCCAGCGTCTCCTCCATACTGCAACCAGTGGCCTTGTCGAGCTTGTTCTTCTTGTACTTGTCAATGAGGACGTCGACCTCGATGCTCGCACCCTTGACAAGCGTGCTCTTCCTCTCGAGCAGTTTCTCGGTGGGGAAGACGTCACCAATACCGATGGAGAAGCCTCGATTTGTGAGATGTCTTGCACACAATTTGGCAAGTCGGTTCATCGTAACCACGGCCGCATCGGGACCGAAATCTCTCAGGATAACGTAAAACACTGAATCTTTCTTTCCTGATCCGACTGTCGACTTGTCCATGACACCGCACATGACTTCGGAATTGCGAATCACCAACCATCCGTCGTTGGGGTCCATATCGGGGCATTGCCCGGCTCTGGCCTTATATTCTCTGCACTTGGCGTCAAGGTTAATCTTGACCGGGCTGTCTTTGTTAGGCCGCATCATCATGCTGAAGACCTGCTTGCCGGTCCATAGGGCCTTAGGCTTCAGAATGGCAGGAGGGGGCAAGTCAAGGTGGACTTTGCCGTCCATCATGTGCATGCAGATGTAAGTGAATGTTTTGCGGTCGAAGAAGTTGTCCTTGCTACTAAGAAGATAGGCAGCGGTAATGAAATCTTGCGTAGCCGCAATGACGGGCTCTCCGTTTTTGGGCGTCGCCAGGTTGTGTTTCACGCCCATGAGGTTGATGGCCTCGGCGCGGGCTTCCTCCGTCTGCGGGACGTGAAGATTCATCTCATCACCATCGAAATCGGCGTTGTAGGGGCCGCACACACACTCGTTGAGGCGGAATGTCCTCCAGGGTCGCACCTTCACCAAATGGCTCATGATACTGAGCTTGTGCAAAGATGGTTGACGGTTGAAAAGAACAATATCGTTGTCTTCCAGATGGCGTTCGACGACATCGCCGATCTTGAGGTCCTGGGCGACCTGGTTCCTGTTACCGAACTTCAAGGAGATTTTGTAGCCTCCCTCGTCGTTCTTGATGACCTGCTGAGCACCAGGCCAGATGCTGGGACCGTTGCGAACGCACTCCTTCAACTTCTTGATGTTGTAGTCTGACACTCGCTCTGGGTAGGTCAGGTTCTTGGCAACAAGCTGGGGAACGGCAACCTGGTCGATACCAAGGTTGGGATCGGGTGAAATGACGGTTCGTCCGGAGAAGTCGACACGCTTTCCGGATAAATTGCCACGGAATCGACCCTGCTTTCCCTTCAACCGCTGGCAGAAACCTCTCACGGCCTTGCCGAATCCTGGCTGTTGCAGACCTGGCACGTCACTGTTGACGTACATGGCTACCTGGAGCTGAAGATACTCCCATTGTTCCATAATGGTCTGGACTGGTGAGCCCTTCTGTAGCGCCGAGCGGATCATACCACTGACCCAGACAATGTCTGCCAGCTTTGTTGTGATGTCGTCCTCGTTACTGGCATTGTCTTGGGCTACTGATGGTCGAATGCACACAGGAGGCGCAGGAAGGAACTGCCAGATGAACATTTCGGGGCGGCCTTCGGCGGGGTCCAGGCCAAGAAGCTCGCAGTCGGTGGGGCTGATCATCTTGAAAAGATTGAGAACCCTCAAGGGATTCATATCCTCCATGGCCTTGCGCAAGTGCTTATCCAGCTCTCCATTGTTCTTTCTGGCTTCGGCGAAGGACTCGTCAAACTTGATCTTGCTTTCGGGAGGGATCTTTTTGGCTGCAGTAGACTTGTTGTATGTGACAAACTTGTCGTGGGCGAGCTTGAGAACACCAACTTTCCTAATCTGGCCTTGGACGGAACCGCAGTACATGCAGTTCTTGACCTTTCTACACTGCTCGTTAATACGTTTGCAAATCTGTGTCCGTCGCAGATTGTCGAGCAGGGGTCGCCTCAGCTCCTTGAGGAACGATCTCTTCTCGCTCTCTGTGAGTAGCACTTTGCCACAGTCCTGGGTACCGTCAGTGGCAGTCGATGTAAGCGAGACCGAGGAATCTCACCTTGCAGATGTCCTGCAATATCATCATGACGAAGCGCAAGTAGCCGATGTGGAAGGCCGGTAGGGGAAGTCTGACATGGCCGAAGTGACCTGTGCAGTTTTGCAGCGATTCCTCACATGTTGAACATTTTCCTGTCTTGCTCGAGGTACCCTGTCGGCCAATACGTTAGATCGACTCATAGACAAGTCGTGGGAGTCGCTTACAAGACGGGGGT